CCCCCGCCCAAGCGCATCACTCTCACTCTTCCCGTCGTGAACCACGGCGTCAAGATTGCCTTTGTCGCCACTGGTGGCGGCAAGAAGGAGATCATGAAGAGGATCTTTGAGCATGGCGACGGACTTCCTTGCGCCCTGGTCAACGAGGGCGCCGGTGACCGCGTCAGCTGGTTCGTCGATAACGCCGCCGTCGAGGGCGTCAGCTTCCCCCGCCGTTCGTTCTTGTAAACACCAAGAACGTGATGGTGAGAGACGATGGATAGATCTGACGATGTGGAGGACGATTGCGAAATAAAAGAATAACCATTGCTCGCTCCAGATAGACAGAGACTCAACGAACGGCACATCTCTCAAAGGGATGGAAACTATGAAAGGAAGAAGAAAAAAAAGGACCGTACCGACAACCGCGACGACCTGGTGTCCAAGTCTCCCATTCTACCTCGTCTCGGGTTGCACTGGAACTCTTTCCCCTACCCCTTTTCAGGATTTGCTATTTGTTCGCTGGGCCTCGAACTTTTGATATCCACTCACGTCAAACTTTATGATTTCACGATACAAAGGAACGAGACGAGAGATTTGGGAGGGAATCTTTGCCAGACGAATCGGCCATTGCCGTGACGTGACGTAAATGTCGGTAGATAGCTCGACGGTCTCCCTCTCCGCGGAAGGAGAAGGGAACCAAGCAAATGCAAAAAAAAAAAAGACTTATATCCCCATCAAACGAGTATATCGTGATATGCCTGCTTGTGCCTCATACATATGAACCTTTGATATGCAACTTTGTGCAGCTTGGGGCGTGGCTACCGTTGCCTCTGCTTTTTTTTTTTTGTCTTCGCTTCCCTGCATCCCACATTAGAGTCGCGTTCTGCCTTGGTAATAGGACGCCACATACCTCACCCCGCCGATGACGATCCATGTAGGGCTGAGGACCTTTTGACTTCTCCAGTGCTCCAGTCATGCACTGCTGACGTGGGGAACATGATGAGAGAGGAAAGAAAGGGGATATCCCCCCTCACCGACTCTCGCCGAGCCTACCTGCCCAAAATTTCGGGCCGAGTATGTGAGATGGAAGGAAAGCACAGCACCGCACCCGTAATTTTCCAGATATTGTCGGGTGGTGAGAGGCCCAAGGTAAGGCATATAGGTCCTCCTCAGATCTGTTCCTGTCACCAGCTAGAAAACGCCCGTCTAGGTTGACGGGTCAGGTCAAACTGGCTGGAGTGGTTCATGGTCTAATCATTAAAATCGCTAGCCAGCCTACTCGACGACAGTCTAAGCGCATACGAGAGTACCCGAGTTCGAATCCCAGCATGGGCACCAAGAGATGTAGCCTACTCTGTTTTGTATTGGCTTTTAGATGGACCACATGTGTAAACTTCTTTCCCGGTTGAGAAGATCACTTTCCCAAGGTAGGTCATCAAAAACTCGGGACTCTCGCTTGATGTGCCCTTCTTCTGCTCCCGCCCCTAGATACCTGAAAAGATTACAAGAGGAAGTTCTCTCCCCCGCCATTCTCTTTTACGCGTTGTCCGGTGCGACTTCATTGCTGGTGTTTTTGCATATCTCCTGCTTTCCACTTCCTCCCTCACTGCTCGAACAGTATAATTGGTCCGAGATGGCGATTCATGATAGTTGAAGGTGCAAAGGGCGCCAGCCATGTCATGCCCCATGGCCCGCATTTTCTCATGTCTTGAGGTTTGTTCTCGATGGTCGCGTCGCGTTGGTCTGATTATCTTACCGAGCCTTTGACGGTGTCCCGGCGGCTGTGTAGCTTCAAATAGCATTGGTTCAAGGTACCAGGCTGGAGAGTATGCGCGCCCCGTTGGCTTTCTACGATGCTGACTTTCCTGCTTCTTGTAATCTAGCCTGTGTTTCTCGGACTTTTGGACATAGAGTTGAAGGCGAGGAGTGAGAATGGGACAGTAGATCATGTTGCGAACTCGGTGCTCCTCTCACACGAGACGAAGTCAAGGCAATATCAATGGCACGAGAGCCCACCTACCTTAGGTTTAGAAAGGCGACTTCGCACTCTTCCTTCTACTGGGAAATCCTACAATGATTAGTCCTTGAAAAGGACACCAGAGGTTCGTTAACCTAATTCTCCATCGACCGCGATCGTACAGGCCAACTCGGGCCACAAGTGTCTCTGACCCTTGCGGATCTTTGATGGAATCTTAGTATAATATCTCTCACGTTTGTTTGCATATATGAATGCTTGAGTCTGACCAAGTCCATCCAGATCGCATGCCCCTATTTGTATATTTGCTTGGAATACATAGGAACCACCTCGGTCTCGCAGACAACAGCATGTCTGATATTCTTCACTGATTATTCAATTACTCGGCAGGTTCAGACAAGATCTTCTACTAGACAAAGCTAGACAGGCACGCTGACTTCGTAGGCAGTTTCGCCCATCGAAGTCAGGCGCTCGGAGCTGCGTGCAGCAGGTGAAGAAGGCAACACCAATCCTACCAGCGTCGAGATTTCTTAGACCGGCGTCTAAGTGTGAGGTACTTGGAATAACTAGAACCGGATACGTAGGAGAGAAATCTGGACTTGGTTGTATGAAGCATTTGTAGGGGCATCCTCCCTTCCCCATATCCACAAAAGGGAGCAGGTCTCGAACTATCTCCCATACTAAAAACATCCACAAAAAAAAAAAGGAAAGAAGAAAAAGAAAGGAAAGGAAAGGAAAGGAGGGAGGGCTGGTGATGACTTACTCGATAATTCACGCCCCTGCCCAGATTTGAACAGCGCGCCCCTCTGACCAGCACGGCTTCATTGGAGTATTTCATTGTGTCGACTCTGCGTCAGAGTCGAAACCGCTCGGCCAAATGGCCGGGGGTGCTGGTGATAGACACAGGTGAATTGGCTCCTCAAGTAGGGTAAGGGGAGGGGAGGGGGAGGGAAGGTAAGCACGTGGGAGGGCAGGAGCGACGGGTAGGTGGGGAGGAAGGAGCTGGACGTGGGAAGTTGGGTATGAAAGACCGTGTCAAGGCATCGGCTCGAGGAGGGAAAGTAGACTGGTCTCTTTCGAGTTTTCTTCACCTCAAGGAGGCTGCGTCACCCACCTTCTATGAGCGTAACCTGAGAGCATGAGACCGAGACTAACAGCATTCGATCAAGACTACAATGCTTTGTCAAAGGCATCGTGGAGATGTAATATTGAATCACGTCCGACTGGATGTCCTTCACACCGCACGCCTTACCAGGAAATACAGAGTAGGCAAACCCAGCACGCTTGGCCTTGATACACAATGATTGAGATTCCAGGCACAACCTCTGCTTCGATGTGGATATGACAGCATGTCCGCTGCCAAGTATCCTATCCAGCCCCATAAAGTTCCATACTTACCCATCCACAGTTGGACAGAACACCCGTTGCTCTACCTCCAAGGCTATCAAGGTTTACTTTGCAATACGGATCTCCTTTCTCTGAGAAGAACAGCTGAACAACAATTCTTGCCCCCGCTCTGAGTTTAGGCTATAGCAGCCTCCAAATCCTTCAACTACTCTTGGTATCTTCGTCTACAATGCCATCCCAAGCACCGCTATCTGAAGACGAGTACTTGTGTTTCAAAGGGCGAGCATTATAGGCCTCTACCCCTTGATCTTGGGAGGTGCTGTGCGTCCATTACGATGTAAAACAACATGACTGTTTCCACGGATCTCTGCTGCGCAAAATGTCAACTGGTTGAAATCCTTGTGGTGCCGATACTGGAGACACCGGGAATTGGGGTTTCGTATTCACCAAGGTAGTTGTAGAAAAATCACTCAGACCCAGACGATAGCTCAATCCCTTCCACTAGCTAGACGCCTCCAAGAACCCTTTAAAACAGCCACCAGGTTCCTCTTCCTGAGGTACCTTTAGAAACCCAGGAAACAACTGTCGTCTCCTGATTTCAGCTTTGTTGAGCGCTAGAGAATCGAGATTCTATGCACATGTCGTTTTTGCATCTCGAACAGCGGAGCGATCTAGAAGAGGGACCGCCCTTCAAGTCCTATAACACCACGACCCCTACCCGTCCTCCTTCTCTCTCTCACTTAAATAGTATTCGAGGAAGAATACACTATACCTAGTTAGGTCTCAGCATGAAAGAGAAGAGCTTCCGGCCCTCTATAATCGCACCCTCCTGCTAGCTCGTCAGTCCAGCCCAGTCGCCTCGCCAGCTGGCTTGAGACTGGAGACATCATCGCCCGTCTGCTGCTCACTCAGACAGAAATAGGTAGAGAAGCCAAAAATCGCCACACTGTCTCTGTCTCTCCCAGAAATTTGATCCTGTGCCCCCCCCCCCCCCCCCCCCCCCTTTGAGGCTTAAATATCTACGATGCGTGGAAGCGCCGGGCGGGGGAGGTGGACTTCGTACTGGTTTTAGGTAGAGCACACCTGCCTGGTCCGAGTACAACAGTAGACAAGCCATTATCAAGAGACGCCAACACGCTGCTTCTTTCAGGATGCATATGCATACATGCAGCAGGACATACAAAGATACGCAAGTCACCAAGAGACGATGAGGGCACAATCGCAAGCTGAATACAAACGCTATGGTGACAAAAAAGCATACTTTGTATTCCCTACTCGTAACGCCGTTCTCTCCGTGCCCCAGTCATGCCTGGCCCCAAATCATAGGTGTCTTTCTATAAGCTCTGTTCTTCGCGCTGAAATCTTGCCCAGACCACCGGAGCTCCATGCAGACCCATGATCGAGGGGCGGGTCGGTGTGTCGTTGACGTTCCCCTCAAGAGTCATCACATGGACCCGGCAACGTAAACAACTAGAGAAAAAGAAAAAAAAAAAGCTAAAAAGAAAAATTCGTCTTGTTGCGTCAAATGGCTCTCTCTAAGCACATCCGGCTCCGCCTCAGAACGAGAGCCGTGCTGTTCAAGATTGCTCTTTAGGGTATCTTGACCAAATTTTGCTCCATGGGCCTCCGTACGGCCCGCCCCTTTCCACCCATCCCTCATATCTCTTCAACCCCATCATCAAAACGTTTGTGTCCTTCACTCCTCGTCGACCTCCTGGCACCAAGGATGCGCGAGAACCTGGTTGATGTCATATCTCGCAGCCACATCCCGGTTGAGCATGCACCGCACTAGGTCAATGCTCTCATCGCTCATCGTCCACGGGACTCGAAGGTCTCGGTCCATGATCTCGTCAATGCTGTAGAACGGGTTCTCCTTGTAGATGATCGTGTAGAGCAAAATTCCGAGCGCCCAAACATCTTGCTCCTTGCCACCGTATGGCTTGCCAGCGAGTACCTCGGGAGCAGCGTAATCTGGCCAGTCAGTTTCAATCACGATACAGGAGAAGCGATATGAGACTTACCAATAGTGCCCACAAAGACGTCAAAGGGGCCGTTCTTGATGTACGCTGCACTTCCAAAGTCGATCAACTTGATGTTGCCCTCGCCATCCAAGACCACATTCTCATCCTTGATATCTCTATGGACCACCAATGCCTTGGTATGCAAATGGCCGATAGCCTTGGCAACTTGGACGAAAATACTGCGGCACTCAGCCTCCTCCATGTCGCTGCGGAGCTCAATATAGTCGAACAGATCCATGCCCGGCAATCCGTGAGGCACCATCTCGATGTAGTAGTTGACCTCGTCCTCGAAGAAGGATTCCATTTCGACAATATTGGGGTGCTGTAGGTCGGGCCGGCGCAGATAGTCGAGAACGTGAATCTCCAGAGGGACTGTGCCGAGCTTTCGATCTCTCGTCCATGTGTCTACAAGGATACGTCGCTTGGTCACGTACTTGAGGACCACTTTCTTCTGCGTCTTCTTGTCCTTGGCCAGCTTGACCTGACCATATGCACCCTGGCCCATGTCTTCGAGGATCTGGAAATCATCGATGGACTTTTTCTGCTGCGCTGGCTCAACAAGTTTTGGTACAGATGGCTTTTCCTGCTTCTTTTCGGCGGGACGCTGTGAGCCAGTCAACCTTGCGGCGGCCGTCATCGCGACTTCCTTGAGTTGTTTGGTGATGGCGGATGCTGTCGACGACGAAGACTCTCGAGGCTTTGGCTCATCGGAATCCGAACTAATCTCAAGCGGGGTGTGCGCCGGTGTCTGCCCAGGAGACGGCTGATGCAAGGGAGTTGTCGTTCCAGAGGCGGACGCCGACGTCACACCGAGCGTTGACCGGGCGGCGTGCATGTGCCTGGAGTAGGTAATCCAAAGGGCGAAGACCATTTCTGAGTGGGTAACCGAGAAAGAGTCGTCCTGGTTGTCTCCGTCCTTATCTTCATCCTCGTCCTCGATGACAGTCTCTTGGATTACGGTGGACTGTTTTGCGCTTCTTACCACCCGCATCTGCACGTCAACCTTGAGCTCTGACCCATCCCTGTGCTTTCCGGGTACCCCGTCCGGCCGCAAGAAACTCGCAGCCGCATCTGGGCGATTTTCTCGAAGACCAAGAATCGCCGACGCCCGGCGGAAGCTGTGCTCTGGCACCACAATCCCATCCTGCAATTGAACACCATCCTCTTCCGTCAGAATATGGAGGATCTTTTCGAAATCGGGTACCAAAGAGTCAATGGCCATGCCGTCGGGCTTTTCGTAGCCAAACAGAGCGCCGCAGAAGACCGAGTTTGAGCTTTGGATCTTCAGAGTCTCTGGATCCACGACGATAATCCCTGCAATGTGCGGGAAGCTCGAGACGCGTAGCTCTGTCTTGCCCCGTACTTGCTCAACACTGCAGGGAATGTTGACTTTGTTCGGGTTTGGGCATGTGAAAAACTTACGCCTCGCAATCTGCGCAAAGTCTACTTCGCCAGTGCGAGGGTCGATGCCTTGCCGAGGAATGCGTGGGATCAGCTTGCCAATATCCACGCCAGGTCTCAGTGACTCAAAGCCCCAAATTGGTGCTGTTGCTCCTGAAATTTTCTGGACAATGCCGTCGTCGTCGAGCTCAATCTGGGCCACGTCTTCGTGGATTTCCTCAAGGACCCAAATGAGACCAACCCGCTTCTCCTTTACCCACAAACTTGCGGAGCCCGTCGCACCGTTTCGTTTCTGGATTGGAACCACGTCACCGCACAAAAGGACGCCTCTCGACCGACTGCTCTGGTGCCGTGAGCTTCCCCTAAGTTTGGGCGGGCTGGGATCTCCGCTGTGGACGGTTTGAGCCTTGCGAGTGACCACTTTCGGGGGCTGTGACCTGGAGTTCGGCTTGCTCAAGAGCTGTGCCGTAATTCCACCTCGTCCGCCTAGAAGTGACGTCGTTGAGGCAGCAGATGCAGTCGGTGCAGGCGCAGTCGTTTTCGGAATGTCTTCTGCCTCCTTGATTGTGTCTTCGGGGTCCATCTGAAGCAACTTCTTCTCCAACCAGTCTCTCCGCTCCTCTTGAACAACCTCCAGTATACCCATCCGTCGTACCTCTGCCTTTGTAACTCCGAACACCAAGCAAGCCAGGTCGTTGGCTGCGATAATCGTCCATGGCGGTTTGGACTCTGTTGTGAAAATGGCCTGAGCTGCTGGAACCCACCGCGTCGAGTGCCCATGCACGGCTGCGCCAAGTGCACTTGGCATGTTCCCTGCGGACAGAGGGTGTGCGGTTGTTGGTGAAGCTAACATTTCTTGAGCTGCTAGGTACGGTTGTGCCATGGTGTCAATGAGCTGTTGATGAACCGAGACCGGGAGCGTATCTGTGAGCGTTCGCTTCAGGCTAAGTCTTCGAGACGGCGGCGGGGATGTCTTTGCAGTCGTGCCACTCTCGTTCGTCGGCGTCCTGCTCGAGTTTTCCGATTCACTGTCGCCCGTGGCGACTTTCGGGGTTTCATCTTGCTGCTTTATTGACGGTCCGTCGTTCGGAGGAAATGTTGCAAATTGGGTCGCGGTGGGAGAGGCGCTTGGAGACTGGAAGGGTTCAGGGCTTGATGTTCGAGGAATGAAGTTCGCTTCAAAGAGATTCTCCCCCGAAACCTGCGGGGGTCCTGTCAAAGGACCGAGGATGGACTGATCCATGGATGGGAGGTTGCCCGCTCCGACGAGTTGTGCCCTAGCCAACAAATCCAGCATGTTCTGAGTCTCGACATCCCCGGAGGCTCTTGCCTGGGCGCTCGCAAGCGCAACGTTCGAGGGCGAGACGGACCATCCCATCCGGTCTTTCATGAATTCTATGGATCGCTTGAGGACATTTTGCCGGTTATGTATATACTCCTCGGACTGGTGGGCGAAAGAGAAGGAGTGTAATGACTCGGAGGGGAAACGGGAGAGATCTTCGGAGAAGTTGGGCGATGAGGGATGGGAGCTGAACGGCATGCCGGGAGGGTTCGCGAGTAGTGTTGTCATAGATGTTGACCTCGATAGACCTATAGAGGAGCTTCTGGAAGGGGCGGCGGAGGGAGCTCGCGAAGACGGTTGTTGTCGGATTCGACGTAATCCGGACAGACCGAGGCCATGGTCATGATCCGTTACGATTGAGGATCTATGACTGGAAAAAGACCTGTCAGCACGGTGATGCCTCAAATGACTGTGGATTGCCATGTGATGGCCCAGCTGCCACCCAGTGACATCTGAGGCGGTGCGGCCGAGCCCGTGACACCCTTCACGCTTGTCGCCAAGCAAAACCGCACTGCAAGTTGCTGCCGCCTCTGCCAAGATTCAACAACTCCCATGGTGTTGTACTCGAATCCCACTTGGAATTGGCTTGTGGCGTGAACCATGCCTTGATGCGCCTGCGCGGGCCAGGCGCATCCCAAACGTGAAAGGCCCCTCTGTTTCGTTGTCGAGACGCTTGCCTTGGCAGCTCTCAACGACGTCCAGCTCCTCCACGAGCCCGCAATCGGCTCGGCAGCTTTGCCATTCAAGGGATATTGAGGTGTATTTATGGGCGAAAAAAAAACCAACCTTGGCACATGGTCGCCGCCCTCTGCAGCAGATCCGGCATCGAAGGAAAACCGCATTCGGCCGCGGCCGCTGTTGTTGTCGTCTGTTATAACGGCGAGGTTCCCGGTGCTTCGGTTCTTGGGGAGTTGCAGCTGTGTTGTCGGGGTTCTGCTCCTTCCGCGAGGTTCTTCGTGATGTGAATCGGTGCCTGCGAACCATGGAAAGGTCTGGGTTAGAGAGGGAGGAACATCTTGAGGGTTAGGAGACGAGAGGCGGGCTCTGCGTGGGTGGACGAAGGACGTACCATTGTTGTGAGGTCCCCCATGCGTCTGTAGCATAGTTGAATAAAGATAGGCAGTCGACTCGGACAAATGTCAGGGTCAAGTAAATGCGGGCAGGAGGCGGATTCGACGATGCAGGCTCGGATTCGGCGGGGTCGAGTAGCGACGGTCGTTCTGGGAGGTATCGGGGTGCGGTCTCGTCTGCTCTAGAACGTGGTGGTGGGAGAGAGCAAATGGCAGTACCGGCGGTAGGTAGGTAGGTAGGTGTGTTGCTGGCCAAAAGGTAGGTAAGGTATGGTGCTGCTGTACGACAGTGGCTGTTCCGGCGAAGGTGGGAGGTAAATGAGGTACAGATGGAATTGCTGCCCAGAAGATACCTCGGGCAGGTAAGGTGGTGAGGCAGGGAGTCAGTCAGTGGTGAGGTAAGTTAGGTAGATCAGGTTCGGTGGGCAAGGTTTGCCACAAGGATGAGAGTGTGGGAGTTTTCGACGGGTGGGTGTACGGTCAGGAACGTTTTGTTTTTCCTGCTTTGGTTGCTGGTGGCGCTGGCGTTGGCGCTGGTACTGCAATGCTGGTGGTCCGACCAGAACAGAGCAAGGCGAACGAGGGAGGGGAGGCTTTTCAGGAAGGATTGATGGAATGATCCAACAACTAGCGGTCGGGAGAGAGAGAGAGAGAGGGCGAGAGATTGTAGGTGAAGGTGAAGCTGAAGAAGCTGGTCCGTGTAGCAAGCAGCAAGCAGTGGTGGTACCGGTCAGGTGCGATGCGGTGCGGTGCGGTGCGGTGCGGTGCGGTAGAGCAAGCAAAATGCAAGCAAGTAGCAGCAAAATCCGGTCGTAAAGACAGACGGACGGAGCAGGAGCAGGAGCAGGAGCAGGAGCAGGAGCAGGAAGCAGAGACGCGGACCTGCTCTGGCGGTGGTCCAGTCCGGTCCAATTCAACTCACCGAACGGCCAGGAAAGGGAACGTGAGTCGTCTCGCCGTCCCGTGCTAGTGCCACCTCAGTGCCAGCGCGCGCCAATGCCAGAATGCCAATGCCAGAATGCCAATGCCAGTGTCAGTGCCGGTGTCAATGCCGGTGTCAATGCCGCAACCGGATGTCCCTGCTTGGTGGTGCTGGACTCTGGACTCTCGAGTGCTGTACGGATAGAGTGCAGAGTGCTGCGTGCTGGGCCACCTTGGTCCAATCTGTTTTACCCTTTCTCTATGCGTCTCTTGGCTCTTCTCTTAATCACTCGAGATCCCACTCTGCTTCTGTGCCGTTGACAAGCGCAACAAGACAGGCAGGCAGAGAGTATGGGAGAGGGGTGTAGAGAAGCGAGTGTGGTCGTCTTCCAAGGCAAGGCAAGTGACTGGCTTTAACACCCACGTGCGGCTGGCCTCGTGAAAGAATCGTCTGCCGTAATCATCCAAGATGACCTAAGACAAAGTCTCGAGAAGTGACAGAAAGCCCGGGGGTTTGTGTGGTGTCCACGGTCCTGGGCGATTCAGTCCACACTGTTGCGGCAGATGCTTGTCCGAAAGCGAGGGGCGGTCTCGAATGCCTGGAAATTTCCACTCGTCAAGCGAATCCAATGATGCCCGAGACTGGAGGGCCTTGGAAGTAACAGTGGGCAGCACGTCACAGACGAGGGCGGCGTGGGCGGCGGATGGGCGGGCGGGCGATGAAGATGAGAGATGGACGACAGGCAGAGGCAGCACAAGCTCACTCGGTGTCAAGTTGAGATGATTCGCTTTAGGAGGAGTATTTTTGATGAACAAAGAGAAGGACAAGTTGAAGGAAAGGGGACGAGGGGTGGAAAACCATAGAGACTGAGGGATAGAGAGAGAGGGCGGGGGAGGGAAAAAATCCAAGTCCACTTTCTGCCTCCAGTCATCGAAAATTTTGAGATGCATCTGCGTACTCCGTACACAACTTTTGCTACCAAATCTGCGTTTTCTCTCTATCGTACACTGCACCGCACGCACACTTTTCATGTCAAGTAGCCTCATGAAAACCCTCGTCTCCTGTTGAGAAACCCCCTCCAAAATCCGATTCTCGTGCAGTCGTTTACAACTTTGGTGGGCGCACAACATGGGTTGCAGCTCGACTTACAGCGCCGAAAAGTAAACACATCACTGATTAGGGGGGCTTAAACATGCGGCAGTGGTCCTGGGAAAGATGGCTGCAAAGTGGGGGGGGGGGGAACACACCTGAAGCTCATGCCGCTCACATTCATCAAGCTCTAGCTCACCTCATCTCATGCTGAAGCTCACTCCCGTCTCATCACACTCTCACTTCCTCCTCCACCACCTCACCTGAACCAGACGGGAACATGCACGTGAAGCAGACCGGCGGTGGACCCACCACGATATTGAGCGGCCCCAATCTCCCGGGGGGGAACACCAGCAAAAAAAGGGAGAGCATATCCCGGGATACGTCACAGTGCCGCAGCCCAGGCCGGCGACATAATGCCTGGCCGAAGCCGCTGTTGAGCCATCACCGCTCAGATTGGCCCGACGCCCAACGCTTCTCAAACATACTCGATACTCATTGGGCAATGCCTCTTGTCCGTAGGTGCTCCGGGTACGACTTGCCCTACCTACTTACCATCCGAGGCAAACGTTATCGATGCTCGTCGCCTGTCAAACCACCTGAATTAGGACGAGAAGACGGACGGGGTGGGAGACGATAAGCCAGCTAATAGCTGCCAGGCGAAGAAAACAAACATTCCCGTCGTCCGCCCACCAACCACCAGAACAACGGGGCAGATCCCTGTAGATATCTTTCCCGAGGCGTAGGTGACAACGCAACGTGCCCACTACCCAGATCCAAGTTGTCGTCTGCCATGCTTTGCATATCAAGCACATGGCAGCAAGTTCTGCGGTGAAGCCATCTGAAAGCCTCTTCATTAAGCTCATCGACTCGAATTGCGAAAGCCTGGAGTCACGAGCCGAGGCCGTTGCAATAACCCCCACTGGAGCGACTGGACAGTTGATGGTATTGCCTGACTTTGTCAAGGTTTGCTTACCCATCTCTAAGCAACATCAGGAAGCAAAAGATTGGCGAGCTGGCCATGCGGACCATAAGGATAAGGATGCTCTAAAAATGAGCCATTCTCCGAAAGAGTCGATGAACTAGCTGCGCCTCGCCAGTGTCCTTCACCAGGTTGCCTTTGGGTGTATACTTGAGCCGTACTTCCGTCTTTACGGAAAGTCGGCTCAGGGTACAGACAGAGACGGGGCCACGGCTGTGGACCGTGGATGGTCAGTCAGGGTCAGTTATGAATGTAGCATTGCTGAAATCGCGATGGCAATTCGTGGTTCCTCTCATTACCTGAGGCAGGTTGTCGTCTCACTGAATCATGGTTGGCACCATAGCTAGGTGAGCAACCGGTTGTCGACGAGAATTTCGGCGACATGGTCGCTATCCACGCTTGCCGATTAACCCCGCATTTGGCGTTTTGTTGGCTGAAATCGAAGGAATCCAATGCTATCAAGTTTGCTATGACAGTATAGCGACTTTCTCCTGACTTCTTCTCGGTCTCGCATCTGCTACCAACAGGTCAATACAATGTTGACGACGCTGCGGGAGAGTCGGAAATCGAGTGAGCGAGCTGGCATTATTTGCCAAGATATCAGCAGGGTTCGAGGTCGTTTCCCGTTGTAACCAAGTTACCGGACCACGTTAGCGATGAGCTGTTCTAGGCTCTGGTAACTCAAGGCGTTCGGCAGGTCCAGAACACAGGCTTGTCTGTTATCTTATCGGAAGCTATCGGCAATCGGGAAGTAAGGTACATGAGCAGCACGTGGTTTATATTGACCACAGCAGCTAATAGTAACATCTTTCGTCCCGAGGTAGGCTGAGAAAGCAAGTGCACCACCGATCTACGGCTTGGGTTCAGCATCAAAGCTGTGACACTCGCTATCTGGGCAAGGGCGAACAGATGCGATTTGTCTCTGTTGCATCCAAGATAACAAAGCTTCTACCGTGTCTTTCGACAACTTCGCGAATCGCGCAGCCTAGAAAGTGTCACTCTGTGATGAAGCGTAGCTCTGATACGGACTGGGCATGAGATAGGTAGCCGGGTCACCCGACCACATAGTGAAAACCACTGGGCAAGGAGTCGATGAATGGTAGAGTGGTATTTTGAGGAAGATGCCTAGACAAGAAATCGTCATGAGGAGAGCGTCCGATCTGCGACAAAGGACGCTTCGCAATATTCTAAGATAACTAGAGTCAGTGACGAGGTGTCGCGTGGCTCACCGCTTGCTACGTTCTTATCTCGTACCCGAGTCGCATGATATGCCAATATAGTACCCAGAATACCGATTTTCGGGCTGAGCTGCATCAGGCGACCAAGCGAATGTGTGTCTACTTAGTGGTGCCAGAGGCGCCACGTTAACAAAACACGGGGCCAGGGCGTGGAAAAGTTGTGAACGTGGTATTCGGGGTCGTAGTGTCAGATTGCCATGACGGATCTGGATGCAGATCTGCCAAAGAGTTGCGACCCTGCCAAGGCTGCAAAATCGAGCGGCCGGAAGAACATGTGCCTTTCAAACAAAGCACGGCGATGTCAGCTTCGGCCAAGCTTCAGACGAACAGTGCTGATCCCACTGACGGGTCAAAATCCGGACCGATCACGGCGTGAGATTTGCAGCGCTTGCATCTCAAGCAGCCTCATGGCTTTTCTGGAGCCCAAGAAAGAGCTGCGGCGAGGATCTTCAGAAAGAAAGGATCTTAAAGACGGATCCGATTGTTACCATGTCTCTCGTAAACGTGGAGCGGGAGTGCTAGACCCGCCAAAACCTTCGAATCCGGGTTCCATTTTGAAGGGAGAATGTTCTCCGTCCAGGGTTGTTCGGATGCGGCCATGGCAAAGAAAGAAGACGGGATTCGGCCGCCAAAATGGCATTCTCCCCCGACAGCAGAGAGTCGGGTCGAATGCCGCCTGCGGGGAGGCTGGGACGCCAAAGACAATGTGCAAGTCAGCGTGGGCGTGGGGACAGTGTATTGCAGAGCTTTTATCCGTATTGCCTTCTACCCAACGGCATGTTCCTTGACGGAAATCGATCAGAAACACAACGTCTTGCCAAACTTGAGGATGGTCTATTCGTACCTTACTCGACCTTGTATTTAAGCGAGTCAGTTCGTTACCGCCAGTTTCGAATGTAGTTGTTTCCCCGAGTCGGACAATCGGCGACTTGTTCCCAGCAACGACAACTTCAGATGGAGAAGAGACAAAAGTATCCGCAACACAAGTGGTCCCAGGACAGACAGTATGGATGCTCTGACAGGCTCGAGAGACGGCGCCGTGGCCGTGCAGGCAGTGAGCGGAAAGACGCCCCGGCGACGGCGATGGCGGTTGGAGAAGTGAGAGGCGAGTTCCTCCAATGAGCGATGATAGAAACGGCGGTTCCGAGCTGCAGGTCGGTTCGGATACACCACACCAAGTGCGTTCAAGAGTTCAAGGGTCCAGCCAACACGCTAGCGAGCTAAGGACTGTTGGGTACCGCACAGGATTCGTCCTGCAGATCTGGTGTTCAGGTCCCTGATTATTGCAAAGCTCAAGAGGCGGAGGACCCTGCGACATGTTGCTGAATGCAGCAGGACATAGGTAGTGTGTCTTCTTCGGGGTTGGAGGTATGGTCGACGAGCCATGTTGTAGGTTACATGACCTGGCGATGTTGATAAGACAGATAATTTCCAGGAATTTGTCTCGTCGGATTGCACGTCACTTGACTGAAAGAATGGCGGGATAAGGGATGGTGATGGTGCCACGGAAAGGAAGAAGGTGACTTGGGCAAGTGCTCATGTCATGCTCTCGCTCCCGTCTCTTGGGGGTCTTTGGGGGGGGGGGCAAGTGCGGTGTCAGTCAGCAGCGGTCTGAATGGCTGTGTGAAGTGGAGCCGGGATCTTCTAGTATCCATTTTTACTCACCAGCAGCCGCAACGATTGGATGGGGGGAAGAAGCATCAGGAAGGAGAGGACTTTCCTCCAGTCTGCACTCCGGGCGGACCCCTCCTTGCCCTCCCCTTCCCCCCCCGTGGCCCCTCGTCCTTCCCCCACCTGCCCGTTCTTTGCGCCGGACCACGGGCCCCGCACGTTGCACCATGTGGATACTTTACGGCAGAGGTATCTTTCTTGCGTTTCGGCCGCTACTTGTCGACTTCTCCAAGTTCCCATGTCTTGCCTCTTTTTTTTTTTTGCCTCCTCTGGTCTGGCCCTCACTGTGCCTCTTGCTCGTACTGGAGCTGGCTTCTGCTTCTAGACTCTTCCCACCGCCATGCCTTTCCTCAGCTAAACAGAGTTATTGGATCCGGCTAGAAAGGCAGGTGAGAATATCCCAGGAGGCTTGATCCGTTTCGGCGGCATTTTGTTTTCCAAGTCTTGGCTAGAAGCAGCCGAAATCCCGAACAGCCTTGACAGTTTCCTGAGTTGCTGTACATAGCAAGGTGAGGTAGTGTACCTTGAAGAGAGCATCGCACCGCCAGTGGCCATCTTCAGACCCATGGCCCTGGAGGCATTTATTGGCACTGTCGACCGTCAGACTGACCCGTTGGTGTGAGTGATGGGTGTTGTGTATGGCGAACCCGGGACCCATCGGTGCCCATCGATAAGGAGGGTCCTTGTTTCGCCGACACAAAGGGGGAGGATGGTGGGATGGGATGGGATGGTATTGGGGGGGGGTGTGAGGGCCGTTTTGTGCATCCGTCCAGAGCGCGTTTTAAGCTTCTACTTACTTCCCTTACCCGGCCTTCGGTGCGGTGTATTGTGTCGTTCCAAGTGTGAGTGGTTTTGTTTCCGCTCGACTCGTCAACTTTTCTTTTACCTTTCTCTTTTATCCCCCATCCTCCGACCTTTCTTCTTTTTTCTCGCCAACTGCCACCCTCTCACCCTCATATCTCACCCTTCGCAGCCTTGCTCGTGTCCCAGACACATCCTGCTCGTGTGACCTTCCACACAGGAATCAAGAGGCCATGATATCTTGAGTCTTCGGTGTGCCATGTGCTCCGCCCCAACCCGTAAGGTCCCCTTCTTCCAGCCTTCTGAGGCTCCACACCCCGCTACCTGCACCGGCTGACCTCCATTATCGATAGCCGGCTCACACCCGTTCAGATAGCAGATCTCCACCAAAATCCCTGGACCCTGGCCACCCCTCCATCCTGACCCCCCCTTCTAAGAGAGCCGAAAGCCTTCAAGACCACAACTTCTCCCCGATTACTCGCGCTTTCATGTCTCATCCGTCTTCCTAGAGACTTGGCTTGTCATTTCGTCTGTATTTCTCTGTGCTTGCGATTCTCTCTTGCGACGCCGAATATGAAATAAGACCATCCGCCGACCCTTCCGAGCCTTACTCAAACTCACCGGGTCTAAGACGTGGACCACCGAGCTCAGCTTCACTGCGCCGCGCTACCTACCCTCACCAACAAAGACAATACCACCCAGGAGAAACTACGCAACTTTGAGCAAACGACCTCAGTTGTTGTCTGACTGTGGCGAGATATTTCAGCACCATTAGAACTTTTATGCGTATTCTTTAAAGGCGTTTTGTCCTTCAATTAGCCATCCCGCTCGGTCAAAGTCTTCACCATGGCCGACACCGAAATCCCCGCCATTCCGGTTCCTATGGAAGTAGTTGATGAGCAAGGTGCAGGCCTTTCAAACCCCTCCGGCAAAGCCAAAGGTCGACACCGCGTGCTATGTGGTGTGCAACGAACGTCGTCCTCGCCTTCGTTGGCGAGGAGTGGCCGCGCTAGATCACACAGCAATCCTCAACGTCCGCGTGGGAACGTTTCCTGCGTGAGCTTGGCAGGACCCTCGACCGCGGGCACCTCGTTCACTGGCGACTCTTATTTCCCCGCAGGCGCAACAGCATCAGGCTATGCCAGTGCCTCTTCTTCCGTTCCAGGAACACCATCTAGCGAAATCATTCAATTTGTAGGCATCGACGGCCGACTTGCTATTCGCCGGGTCGACAATGTCTTTCCTACCACGCAGTCCCCGGGCGCCCAAACCATAGGACTCCCATCCGATTTAAGGACGACAAGCAAAGCCCAGGTCGCAAACCCGGCAGTTCCCAAGCGTGGCTTCAACTTTTGGGAGAACATGCCACACGAGATGCGCGTGCACATATTCTCCTACCTATCACCCAAACAGCTTGTACGAGCTTCACGGGTTAGCAAGGCTTTCCATAAAATCTGCTTTGATGGTCAACTTTGGACGTCTTTCGACGCCACGGAATTTTACCAAATCATACCTGCCGAGTCACTCGCACGAATCATCGTGGCCGCTGGACCCTTCATCAAGGATCTCAACCTCAGGGGCTGCGTTCAGGTCGAACACTATAAGAGGGCCGAAGTAGTCGTCAAGGCATGCAGGAACTTGGTCAACGCCACCCTCGAGGGATGCCGCAACTTTCAGCGAAACACGCTACACAGTCTGTTGAGAACGAATGATAAGCTCGCTCAGCTCAACTTGACCGGCTTGACAGCGGTCACCAACATGTCCTGCAAAATCATCGCAGAGTCGTGTCCGCAACTGGAGATGTTCAACGTATCATGGTGCGTACATATGGACGCGAGAGGCATCAAGGCAGTGATCGAAGGTTGCCCGAGGTTGAAGGATTTGAGAGCGGGAGAGGTCAGAGGATTCGACAACCTTGAAGTCGCCGAAACGATGTACAAAACAAACAGACTCGAAAGACTGGTTCTGAACGGCTGTGCCGAGCTCAACGACCGCGTGCTTAAGGTCATGGTCCACGGAGAAGACCCCGAAATCGACATCCTCACCGACCGACCGATCGTCCCCCCGAGGAAATGGCGTCACCTCGACCTCAGCCGCTGCGCCCGTCTTACTTCCCAGGGCGTGAAGGCTCTGGGCTACAACATCCCGGAACTCCAGGGCCTGCGCCTGTCCGGCTGCACCGCCCTCACGGATGCCGCGCTGGAGCCAATCTTCGCGTCGACCCCGCGCCTCACGCACATCGAGCTCGAAGACCTCTCGGACCTGACAAACAGCCTCTTTTCAGAACACCTCGCCAAGGCCCCCTGCGCGCCGTGGCTGGAGCACCTCTCCATAAGCTACTGCGAGAACCTCGGCGACAGCGGCGTCCTCCCGCTCGTCAAGAACTGCGTCAGCCTCCGCGTCATCGACCTCGACAACACCCGCATCAGCGACCTCGTCCTCGCCGAGGCGGCCTTCATGGTCAGCAACCGCTCCCAGAGCAACGCCGTAAAACCAAAGCCCAAGATCGGCCTGCACATGGTCGTCTACGACTGCCAAAACGTCACCTGGACCGGTATCCGCGAGGTCCTCTTCCGCAACGCGCAGTCGAAACCCTCCATGGCCGAGATTGGCAAGTTCGCCTACGCCTCCGAGGCCATTGGCCTGAAATGCTTCTACAAGTTCCAAATGACCGTCGGCGAGCACACGAAGCGCGTGCTCCGCGGGGATCTCGCTGCCGCCAACCGCCTCGAGCACCGGTGGGCTGATTACATGCAGGCGAGCGAGGAAGCCGGGACTACCGGGGCCGGTCACCGGCGGCGCAGACGGAGGGCGAGGGAGGCGCAGATGTTGCATGCCGACGAGGAGGAGGGCGGCAACGGCGGTCGGAGGCGGGGCCGGACCGTTGGGGCGTGCACGATCATGTAGAGAGAGTCAACTCGTGATCGTGTAAGTGAGACCTTTGGGGGGTCTCACTGAGGGAGGAGTCTTTTCCAGCCACATTCTTTCGACGATTTCCTAGTCATATGGGTACATACATACTTGCTTGGCGTTTTGGAGCCATCACACACACACACACACACACACACACACACGCGCGCGCGACACTCTTACTCCCATTACTAGATCTGGGATGCATCATCTTCAAGCCCGTGGAACGGATTGAAACCGGCGTCTCGCATCAACAAGGCGCTTTCATGCAGCATATTCTGTACTCTTTCTCTTAACGGCTGGCGTACGGGAACTGGGATAGGAGGTATTGGCCTTTTTCAGGGGTCTTTCTGGGTGGAATTGAGGATTTTACCTATGTACTTACGTGGAGGAAAACACTTTCTCCCATGTCCATTCCAAGGTTGGATAAATAGGCTACTTCAAATGCACACATCACACAGTCCTCATTACACAGTTCTCTCCAGACCAAAGAATTGATTTTGGTAGTCACGCAATGTGAACATGACTTGCACCTAAGAAGCTGCCTTGGTCGTTCGTAGCCTCAAGGTTTCCCTAGTACACCTCACTGCTCAACGGCGTCAACACCTTACTGGTCGCCGTGCTGGCGAATGTACCGCCGAATCTTGTCCTGGAAGACATCATCCTCATCGCGCCGCTCATCACCCTCCATGACGTACATATCGTCGTCCTCGTCCTCGTACGGGTCGCGCGTGTCAAACTCCTCCTCGTCCGAAGCGTTGGCGTTGCGGAACAAGTAGGCGTGGCGGTCGTACTCGTCCTCGGAATCGACCTCGTCTTCGGGGTAATCCGCCGTGTAGTGGTTCTCAGCTGTGCGCACAATTCATATGAGTAAAAGTCCAGGCTGTCTAGAGAAAAAGGAGAAAACTCATTTCTCAAAACTTACCATTTTCGTCCTCATCGTCGTCGAGGTCCGAATCATCATCCTCGTTGCCGTAGAACAGCTCCAAGTCTTCCTGCGAATCGAACCTGAGCACACCAATCTGCTCGGGCGGAATCTCCGCCAACACCGGCTTCGAGGGCGCGAGCTCGTACACCTCAATGACGTAGTCGTCGTCGCTCTCGTCCTCTTCGTCGCTCGCCTCCGCCATGGCTTCGTCGCCGCCGCCGTCGAGCTTCTTGACCATTTCGGGATGACGCTCGGCAAAGCGTTTAGCTGGCGCCTTGGGCTTGAAGCGTGAAGGCGACGCAACGGCGGACGGTGAGCGCGGCGGCTGCTGCTCCATGGCCTTTAGATTCAGTCCGATCTCGTGGAGGACCCACTGGTCCATGTCGGCCGCAATCCTGCTCATGTCCTGGGTAGGAGCTACGCCGGGCATGGGTTTGCGCTGCGGTTCAGCGTCAGGCGTCTTCGTCGCTGTCGTCCCGGAGGCTTCTCGCGATGGAGGGGGCCGTCTGGCAAGGGGCTTCTTCGGCGCCCGCTTATCATCCTCCTTCATCTCGACGTCAACAGGAAGCCCTTCTGCGGTCGTCGTTGTCGGCGTGGTGCCGCCGGACGACGTGGCGGCCCGGCGTGCGCTCTTCTTCTTCCCCCGCTCTACGAAGACGGCCGTCCCGTAGCGTCCTCGCTTGGAGACACCGCCGGCCTTGAGTATCGTGCTGCCTCCAGGCGAGCTCATGGCCGACCTGGACATGTGGAATCGTCTCGGCTCGGTGGCGGGGTTCTGAGGGCGTTGCAGATCGGAGGCGGTCTGCGGTAGTGGCTTCTGCGCGTCGAGTTGGGTCCGGGGTGGCGGCACGGCTGCCGCTGCCTTTCCTGTCGGGAGAGCATGGCTACTAGAGTGAGGAGGGCGATGTGGGCTCGAGATCTCGTCGCCGGGCTTCGACGTCTGGATGACCGGTATGAAGGGTTGCGATGGGTGCTGTGCTGCCGCGGCGGCAGCGGCAGCGGATCTGGCGCTTGCTTTGGCGAGACGCCTCTGGTAGACCCAGCTGCTGCCGGCTAGATGTCGTTTAGATCCCGGTTCGAGTTCTATCTTACGTTAGTCCGTTCGCCTCTTGGACGAAGAAGGGGGAGAGCAGTCGTACGAAGGTAGGTTACCGGAGCATCTTCGTCGCCCCGCTTCCTCTTGATGTGGATCAGTTGAGGAGGGGCAGACATAGACATGGTGGGCGAGAGAGAACAATAGAGACCGTGAGAGAAGAAAAACACGGGAAACAGGGGCGTTGATGGGGTCGCGAATAAGTTGTTGTGAGTGTTGAGAAAGTTATTAAGCACTCAGTAGTTGCATCAACAGTTCCTAGAATAGACTGAATCTGTTGCGACGTTGCAATTCATGCAATTCTGGTTGACGATGTTTTTTCTGGCAGGTGGATTTTTCTGGAAGCAGCCGCTGATGCACACGGCAACCACATGTCGGGCGCAGTGACAAAGTGTAGAGCTGCGATAAGAAATGCTTATCGGGGGTCACGTCATTGGCCAAAAGTGTCACCGCCTTCGGCAGAAAAACACACCGGTGCTGGGGATGGGAGAATAGAAGGCCCCGCCATTTCCGATCAAGATTGAGCTTTCCACCCTGGTTACCTTAAGCAGCACGAGCGTCAGTGGTCTGGATGCTAGCTGGGAGACGGCCAATTGAGCGCATTAAATGATCCGGGAACGTTTCTTAAGCATCCCGAGTGCTAGTTTCTTGGGTTTGCTATCCTTTTACTGGTAGTCGTAAATTTTGAGATAAGTGAGACATGGGGATCGGGTATTCGCTCTTGCTGAGCTTGGTGACATTCGAAACTACCTCAGCATTTGCCTGACCTCACTTGTCTGGGCTTTGGACAGGAAACGCTAGCTTGGAGTTTTGTATGCGACTAGTTATTGCGCCTGGTTATGCTGGAGCAGTGGTGCGTGGATCGAGGCCCTATAATGTACCTAGTAGTATGTAGATTCCGTCTGACAGCGGAAGAGATGATAAACAAACATTTTACATGGAATTGCAGCTGATTGCAAGAGGAATAGGTACCCATTCGTGCCATTCCACGGAGCTTGTTTGGCATGATGGAGGTGGCTGCTAGCTCAATGTCTGAAGTTACCGCCTCGGCCTGGGCCAGGCCTTCCAGTTCCAACTTCATCCACCGGGACCCACGATCAGCTTAGCCCGGCGGCTGTGGAGCTGCATGGCTCGTGCGGTACTAGAAAGTCTCCGATACTTTGGAAACGGGAGCAACTGCAGCCAATGAGCATGTCCTAGCGACTCCCCTGGTCTCGGGATGCATCAGGGATGATGACGCACAAAGCATGCCGACGCTGAGATGGAGCAGCCGGGTGGCCCATTGACTGCGGTGCTGATAACCGCTACTTAATGCTGGGGCAATGATTTGCGGGAGCTTCAGGTCGTGCGCATTGAGCGTTGGGTCGGGAGCTAGGTAACTGCCAACAAAACTTGGATCAAACGGGAGGAGGGGATAGTATGAGTGAAAGAGAGGAAGCGGCAATCTCGTCTCATGCCTCAGCACAGGTTCCTACTTCCGTGGTCCATTCTCGTCTCATTAGGGACCAACAATTGCCGTGTGTCATTCAGAACAGATGGTGCAATCCAGCTCAATTGCCGATAAGCCCGGGTCTTGGGTATTTCTTTGCCTTAAGATACCTTAGGTAGTAGGATCCATTGCAAACAAGTATCCGTACCCAGCCACCAGATGCAAACCACCTTGCATTCAAACTCGGGCAAGTCAGGAAGCTGAAAGTAAGCAAGTGTGTCGCCTCAACTTACCTAGCAATTAGCTTCCTCCATGACCTCGTTCTTCCCAACCTCTTCGCAGTCTTCATCCTCTCCGGCCGGCACACCCCAACCTTTGACATGGCACATACGACATACGGAATAATCATGCAATGAACCCCTCCTGTGCCGCAGCTTCCCTGTTCTGAGCTGCTGCACCTCCCACACACCCAGAACAAGGTATCGGCTTCTTGATCTCTCTGCTATCTGAGCTCCCCTCACCCAGCTCGAAGCATCTGCACGTTTCTCCTCCGGCCTCCGTACCGCCTTGCTGCGGTAAGTTCTGCCCCCTTCCACCTCGTACTCTTCCAACCCCCGACCAGCTCGTTCCCTCAAAGCCGTTTCACTCGCACAAAATACGCAGCCCCCGATTCTTCCTCGTTGGCGTCGTTGCGTGAAACACTCATCCGGGGACTCCACTCCAAATTCCTCTCATAGAATTGTCTCGCATCCTTTTGTGTTCCTCCATCTTCTTCTCACCAAAAAGTCAATCCCATCACCCTGACGCCTACTTGCTTCCCACGACTAGCGCCGCATTTTAAGGTATCGCCCAGAGACAGCCGCATTCGTCAGCGTTGTTGCCCATCTCAATCCGCCACCCTCGCTGTGGGTTCCTAGGGACTAGGGAACGGCTTCCTTTTCTGCCATTTTCGTCGAGTTTTCCTTCCCGAAAGGTCTCTCTTGACTGTGCTGACTTGAGCCGTACTAGAAGGGCAGCCGACGAAGAAAAACCCACCTTCCCGAACGCTCTTCCTCGCATGATTGAGTTGGCCGAGTGACGACGAGAGTTGAGTTTCCCAACTTCAACCTACCTCGCCCGCGGAGGCCATCGTTGACAATGGTTTCCGTAACCATCACCTACAAGGAGCCCGGCACGCAGCCTCCCATCTTCGTCGCCGGCTCCTTCTCAAATCCAAAATGGGAGCCCCAGGAGATGGACTTCACCACCGAGGATGGTGGAGAACACACCTTTTACAAGAACATTGAGGTCCGGCCAAGCACGCAGATCGAGTACAAGTTCCGTGTTGGTTTAGGAGACTGGTGGGTTCTTAATCAGACTGCAGCCATAGGTAAGTTTTCCCGATACTTCATTTCCAGAGACCTCATCTAACATGCAGTCAATCTACAGTTACCGACGAATCTGGCAATCGCAACAATCTTCTGACAGCACCCGCGTCTCAAGAGTTGAAGCAGCTCAATGGTGTGAACGGCGACAGCCAAACCACAAGCAAAGACACTTCAACTTCCGAAGACGTGGACGCCTCAAAAGCTGCCAGAGACCACACTGCTGCCCAGCTTGAGCCGAAGACAAAGGTCCAAGATCATCTCAAGGACGAGGAGCGGCAAAGACTCTCATCGACCCCAATTGGTCAGGTTGCGGACACCGCTGCAGAGGTCGCCGATACCGCCGAGAAACTTGACGCCGAGGTCGACATGTCCAAGCTTGCACCGCTCCCCAAGGGCGTGGAGCACCTCAAAGACGAGGAGAGGAAGCGTTTGTCTTCGACGCCGATTGAACAAGTTGCGAGCACTGCGGCTGAGGTGGCCGATACTGCCCAGAAGTTGGACGCTGATGAGGTATGAGCCAAATAAGCGGCAGACAAGTATGTTAGGGGCTTATATTGACGCTACGTTAGGACCTTAAGGGAGAGGATTCGGACGATTGTCCCGCACCTCTGTTCGCTCACGAAGCTCTTGGGCCCTACGAGCCTTCGGCCGATGATGAAAGTGAAAATCCGAAGAACTACGACCATCATAGCACTGTGGAGTACGATGTCGACAAGTATGACCTCAATGATCCCACCCTGGAGCGGTGGCCCTCTAACAGGGACGGAATCATCAACGCCGTGCGCAAGGTCGAGACTGGACGCAACGAAGATCAGACTGCTTTCTATGGCGCCCCCATTTCGCCTGTCGTTGGATCAGCCCGAGCTAGTGCTGATCAATACTTCGATGAAGCTGTCCTTTCGTCAGGTCCATCTAGTCCGGGTTCCACCAAGAGGCTTGAGCTTCCAAGAAAGTCACACGGCTCCATGGTTTCGGACAGATCGCTCCTTTCTCTAGGTTCAATTGCCGAAGAGGATAAGGAGACTCCGAATGCCGATGAGGCCAATCGAGAGAATGAGGGTTTGATCAGAGTTCCGAGCCCCGCGGTACGGCCGACACCGCACGTCTTCACATCCCCCGGGAGCGATGATGATGAGGGAGTCGTTATGAAAGGCTCCAAGTCCAGGAAAAGCTCAGAGTCTTCAAGCTCAGATTCACCTGCTGTCAACGGCCAGTCCAATGGCAAGCACTCAAGGGATCTGTCGCCCAAGAGTCATCCCGCCAAGCCTGATAGTCCTGTCATCCGCGTTGAGCCGCCTCAAGACAGAGCAGGCTCCAGTGCTAGTCAGAACGGCGAACTAGCAAGGGCTTCTGCTTCGAGCCCCAGCGGCGAGGCATCGACTTCCGGTCGCGATGGCGGTCACAAAGGCCAGCTCAAAAAGCGCGGGCCCGCATCGACCGAGCGTCCTGGAACCCCTTCCTCTATACACAGCGTCACAGACAGCAAAGGAGGCTGGCTCCAGGCCTTCTTCCGCGTACTATTCGTAGACTGGATTGGTGGACTGTTTAGCCGGTTGTTCGGCAGCAAGAGAAAGGCGTAAGGTTTTCTCTCTCTTCCGGTTCGCATAGCACAGTGGATCGGTTGCTCGTGTTCTCATTACATTTCTTTTGTTTGTCATTATTCCTCACAATATCTGACAGGTTGACTTTTATCCGCAGGATGCTGGCCACGAGCACGGCTGCCATCGTTGTAGGAGTTGCATGGTGGAAGTTCGCCATGGGCGGCGACTTGACCTGGCTTGAAGCATTGATTTGACGGGTTACACGAGGGCGGAAAGGTTGTACGCCGGCCGAAATTGCAAAGAAACGGAGGTTGCAGTCAGAACAAAACAACTTGATTTGTACAATTAGGTAATTGGGTGTGGAAGGCATCGTTATGGAGGAAGATGGATCGATTACCAACAGCGGAAGTGACGGTTGATAGCGGGAAGCGGCAGTTGTGTCGACACAGCATGAAGACAAAACATTGGCATCGATGAACTTGACGCCGAGACCCTTGAGCAGGATGTTTCTCCTTTAACGATCGCTTGCTTGCCTCGTAACATAGACGTGTGTTGTACCTTTATACAGGACCACTCACACCGGTTCCTTAAATCACTCTCCAAATGGCACCGGCTCTCTGGGTATCTCGGCCGCGGCCGTCGTCTCCCTCCCTATTCATCCTCTTAATCCATTCATTCTCCCTCTCTACCGCGGCCGCCTCAATGTCTTCCATGACGGCCAGCTCGTCGAGCATGTCCCTGACGAGACTGCCGCACCCGCCCAACATGCGCTTTAGGCTCGACGCTTGCGTGGTAGTACCAACAGCCGCGTCTCCGTCGTTCTCTCCCCCGTCGTCGTCACCGCGATACTCTAACTCCCTGAGCTGGGCATCCCACCCCTCGAGACGTCTCACCAGCGCCGCGGCATCGTCCTTCCAGCGCGCGTCGAGACCGCCTCCGAAACGGACGTCGGCGTTGCCGTCTAGGAGAGCGGACGGGTCTGCGCTGTCTTGGGCGCGGGCGCGCGCGGCTTCGAGGTCGGAGAGGGTGGAGGCCCAGCGCTCAAAGGCGCGGACGAGGCGGTGGTGTTTGCCGCCTGGGCTGTCGAGGGACCAGAGGGATGTGAGGAGGGCGTCTAGGCGTTGGATTCGGTCTTCCAGGGGTAGGGACGATATCTTGCCGCCGCCGGCGGATGATGATGTTGGTGTCGTCGCCCAGTTGCGTAGGGCGGCGAGGTTACGGCGCTCTGCGGCGTCGGATTCTAGGGCCGCGAGGTCCCTTGCAGAACGTGCGAGGTCGGCGTGGCGCGCGGCGAGTTTGGAGCGGGCGCTGGCGTGCCATTGGGATGTGACTTGCGGCAGGTCGCGGTGGAGGAGGTGGAGCTGGAGGAGCTCGGTTTGTAGGCGTGAGGTCTCGGCTGTGAGGGCGACGTTGGCGGGGAGTTTTGAGGGGGACGGGGCGGCGAGGTAGGTTGCTGTTAGGGGTTTGGGCGCGAGGGATTTGGCGGGGGAGTAGTGCTGTTGGAGGGTGGAGAAGGCTGGGCGGAGGACGGATGGCTTTGTTGTTCTTGGTGGTGAGGCCGGGGAGGGGTGTCGTTGTTGGGCTTGTTGGCGGGCGAGATGTGGTGGTTGAGATTGTTTTGGGGGTTGGCGGGATGGTGCTGTTGTGATACTGCCTGCTCGGGCTGTGCGTGTTGATGTTGTGGTTGTTGCGGAGGAGAGGGAGGATACGGATGGTTTTGAGGAGAGGCGGTCTGTTTCTGAGGGCGGACGGGGTCTCGCGGTCGTTGTTGATGCTGATGAGGATGGGTAGGAAGACGCGGGAGGTGCTCCGTACAGGGACGTCGGGCGTGACCTCGGTGCGGCAACGGCCCCGGTAGACGACGGGGGTCGGAGGATGGTGCTGTTATTCAGGGTTGCGACGCTTCTTGCGCGCGCGTGGCCCTTTGTCGGACTCCCGGCTGCTCCTGTTGCTGTGGCTGTCGATGTCGATGTCGATGTCGATGTCGCCCCTGGTGCGGCGGCGCGTCTCGAGGTTGGTAGACCGCCTGACGTGGTCGGCCTCGCTGTCGTCGGCGTCGACGGTCCGGAACCAGCACCGGCTCTGGCTGCTGCGGTGTTGGATGACGAGACGAGGCTGAGGTTGCTCGTCGAGGCGTTTGCGGGGTATCGAGTCCGCGTCAGGCCCGGTTCTCTCGTCGAAGACGTCCTTGTGAGGCCTGAGAGCGCGCTTGTCCTGCTTAAGGGGGCGCTTGTTGGTCCCGAGCTGGTTGATCCTCCTCCTCCTGCCGTGGCTGTCGCATCTCTTTGTCTCGTTGACGTCGTCGTCGCGGACGCTAGTTGACGCGTCGAGGAACTCCTGCTTAGCAATGACGATAAGGGGTTTGGTCTCTTCTTCTTGGGCGCCTCGGAGGCGGTTGTGGCCGCCGTGCTGCCGGCGACGCTGGCGCCGGAGACGGTGCGTGTTGTAGGACGTGTTGCGGTGAGGGACCGGGGCGCGGGGAGTCTGCTCGGGGACACGGGGCGGTGTGATGTGGACGCCGATGCTGATGGTGCTGCTGCTGCTCCTCCTCCTCCTGCAGTCGAGCTCGCGGGGCCTCTAGCTGCTGCTGTGGTCGAAGCTGAGGATGCGGAGGTTGTCGTCGTCGTCGTCGGGGGGAGGTCGGTTGAAGAGCCTTGTGTCGGCTTCCGCAGGGAGCGGGTACGGGCTAGGGATGAGGACATGACTGCGACGGGTCTCTGGGGTGTGTGGTGATCATGCGGTTCGGGGGGTTCTCTCTTCGGTAGGAACTCGACGGTTTCTTTGCGCGAATCGCTACTCGTCTTTGTGGTATTTGCGGGGACCCCGCGCTCGAGGTCGGTCGTTCGGTCGCTTGAGGGGTGGGGAAAGAATCGCAAACGTAGGGTTGACGAGGGCCGAAGAGCAATCGGTGGGGATGTTCACCCAAGTGCCGCCGGGTTCGCGATGTTGATGTTGATATTCGACGTCAGGGGCCGCGCCATATCCGTACGGTTCTTTGCGGTGTGGGGGTTGCCAGGGGCCCGGGCGGCGGTGGGGGGCCGATGATGGGTGAGGATCAGGTTCAGGTTCAGATTGAAGTCCATGTGAAGATAGTAGGATACTTCTTTTAAGCGTGCATCTCTTGCGGCAATCTGAGTACCGCAGTAATGGATTGGCTGGACTGGGCTGGAGTCCTGGACAGCCTGCCACTTCTACCCGCCCGCCCTGCAGCGGGCCAGCAACCTTCTAGCGCCGGCGCTTGGGTCACCTCGACTCCAACGTCGGCGGGCTGAGCCGAACAGTGGCATCCCCCGTCTGTTCGCGAATCTCAGCTTTGTGTTCATTTTTTCTTCCTAGGTCTTTTTTCTCCGATGAGACCCTCCCTACCTTTCGCCTTAGCTTACCTGTTCGTATGGATACATCCCTCGCGTGTCCGCAAGCCGCGATGCAGCAATCTCCGGTGCATCCGGAAAATAACTCAACGTGCCTGACTTTTCTTGCTGAACGTCGTGCCCCGACATGATTGCAGATGGGCAAGTTGAGAAAACAGTCCCGAGCTCTGCTTGTTACACGACGTATTCCTGATGTGCGCCTCGCTGGTGTCCCTAGATTCTGGTCGTGTGTAGCACTACAGTTCACCGCATATACGAGCTTGAAGAATTTTCTTGAAAAGTAGTCGGGTTTCAATTCCGGCTCTCTGAGAGTCCACCCTTCCAAATCTGTAGTAACCTGTTTTGACCCTTTACCTGTCTTGTCCTTTCTCGTTATGAAGCTTCGTTTTCGTATGCTCAGAGCTTGCATCAAGCAAGTAGTAGTAATCCTTCCAACAAACAAACAAAATGTGCGCGTGACCCTTTTCCCCTTCTTTTTCCTGGGGCCACGACTTCCTATACACAAACATTGGTATCTTGGGGCGAGAAGGGGTATCAACCAATCGACCTCTCTCTATCTAATCCCGCAATGCAGAAAGTTAATTTGTCCCCCTTGACGAAATCCGTGAAAGTCCGGCCGTCGGGGGGCATGTTGAAAACCGCTTGGAAGTAAAATGGCCATGTGATTTCCCTATGCCAAGCAAAAAAGAAAAGGATTGGAAAAATGTGAATTCGAAAGCAATCAAGCCGCAACTGATTGCTGGTACTGTTGTTGTTGATCATCTGTGCGCTGCTCTTCCTTCTCAGAGGCCTCGATGCCCGCGGCTGTGGGAGGGCGCTCTTGGGAGGAGCCGCCGCTTTGTGGGTTACCCTCCAAGTGAGCCACGAGCTTTCGGAGGTCTCTGCGGTTGCTGTTGAAGATCTGCAGGCAGGAACCGCACATGCGTACGTAGCAGAATTGGCACTTGTAACGGTCCTCGGTATCGGCCTTGCCACAAGTCTGGCAGGTGAGGGCGTAGTTGCGGTTGCGAGTTCGGTCCATGGTGCGGTGCTTGACGTAGCAGTCGAGCATGCTCTCCTTCAGGGGCAGAGACTTGTAGATCATGCCGGGACTGGGAGGCTCGGAACCCTGCATGGGGAAGAACGACGCGCGAGGGTCGGCAGGCGGCAGGTCCTTGGCCTTGAGCTCGCGGTACTCGACGGGTTCTTGGTTGGGGCGCTGATCTCTCGAGGCAGCTCGCATATCTCCCTGCGCGAATCCGGGTGCCGGCGCATAGGGCACATACTCCCGCTGCTGCTGCTGCTGCTGCTGCTGCTTGTTGGGTGCGGCCCGAGGCGGGAACTGGTTCTGAGGATCGGGACTAACGGGGCTGACTGCGAAGTCTCTCGTGATTGTCGGAGGGACCTCGCTGCTGGTGACGGGTCCATCCACGCGCATTTGAGGCAAGCTTTGAGCGTTGTGTAAGTTGCGCGCCGTAACCGCCTTACGGGGAATAGGAGGCTTGGACTCGTTTGATTGATCGCGGCCAGGCTCGGGGGAGGAAGCCGGTGAGACGGGCGATACGATTGTTTCGACAACCGGCGTTTTGACATCTTCCTTCTCATAATCGGGAGTCGGCAGGCGTTGGGTTGGCGAAAGCGCTGTGTCGCTGTGAGTCGTTCCCACATTTGCACCATCCTGACCATCGCGCAAATGATGGATTTTCTCCTTCAACCGCGAAACCTCTTGGCCCATGTTGTTAGTTTGAGCCGCTTGACTTTGAGAGGGAGCTGGACGAATATTTCTGCCGGGAAGATTTGATGTGCTGCGAGGGGGGAATTGTTGCTGCTGGGTCGGAGGAGGGGTTGCTGTGTATGAAGATTGCGCGGTGTTTGGTTGAGAAGCAGCAGTTGACCCGTGGCTGACTGTGAGGTGTAAATCTGGGACCTCTATATTACGATCAGATTTTACAGATCTCCTCCTCCATAGTGGTCGCTGTTGTTGCTGCGGCGATGCTGCCGATACATAGCTTGTCGGGCTGCCAGCAGTCGGGGCAGGTGCCGAGTTGACCGGAGCGGCGCCGGCCTGCTCATTGTAGTAGGCCGGGTGTGGCGGCAGTCCCTTGTTGGATGTGAACTTTTGTGCGCCATAGTGGCCATTGTCACCAGATGACACCGAGGTTGGTGTCAGGATCTTGTTTTCCCTTGTTCCATACTGTTCAGAGGTATATGCCTGGCTCGAGTCTCTCTGACTTGCGCTTCCATCCGGTGACATGATGAGGGATTCCCCAGAGCTTCTCGAATACGCCGAGAGCAGACTGCCGATCGAGTTCCTTTCGTCCTCGGGAGAATACTGCTGTTGCTGCTGCTGGTTCGCCGGGGAGGAGGGTGATGGTGCTTGCTTTGCAACTGGGCGGCGAGGTATATGTACCGGGGGCAACGCTTTTGTCTCGAGGGGAGGGAGTGGAGGGAGAGACTGGTTGAGGGGTTGCGGTGGTGGAAGCGGTTTGTCTGACATGGCGAATGTCTTCGTCTTCTTGGACGGGACGGGAGGAACGGGAGGTATCGAAGGGAGCTGCTTAGATTTGGGAAGAGATTCGGCCTTTGGAGACGGAGGGGTGGGTAGGGCTTTTGAGAAGCGCGATCTTCCCTTGCGACTGTGAGAACGGAGGAAGTCCATTTTGAACGAGGGCCCCCGGATGGCGGTGGGTTACCCTATAATTGGGATGACGGCGCAGTATCCGTACTCCGTACCCCTTCCCCTTTGCTACCTTGCCTGCGGATGTACGAATCCTTTTGGTCTGCTTAGACTCTCACCAATCGGCTGGCTGGAGGAAATCACCAAGGAGGTAGGGCCAGGGGGGATCAAGGCAGCAAAAGCTGACCACGGAGGGCTGGTGGGACTCGAGAACGTGGGACGAAGGAGGGATGGCGACAGGTTGATTGGAGCGATGAAGTTCGAGGGGGGTTTGCCTTTGCCACAATGTTCAGTATTTTCAGTGCTGTAGTGTTGCGATGCTAGAAGGAACAAGCATCAAGGGTCTTTGGAAGAGAGGAGTAGGGGAGGAGTGGACGAGGATTCCGCGACGAGCACGGCTGCATATGCCTGTAGGATGAGGAGTAGGTACCTTGGTAAGGAGAAAGAAGAAACTTGTGAGGTGTCCAGGAGTTGGTTGGATAAGAATGTAACTTGAAGGGGTGGCAGAAGCAGAACAATGACTGAACGACGCCGGAAGAGATGGGAAACGGGAGAGAGAGTACGGAGTAATAGTAAGTACAGGGTAATGGGAAGTGTAAAGGGGGGGGAGGGGGGTGTAAGTTCGGCGTCAAGTTTAAAGCTGGCAGCCACGGAGAACCCTGCGACGGGGCCGGGTGTCTGAACATTGACCTTTTCTTCCCTCTCTGTGGCTGGGAACTTGAGAAGTTGGGATGGGATTGACAAGGATGTCATCGATATGTTTAAGGTGAAAAGTACCTTGTGGATGCCCACCTCATCAGCAATGCAGAAAAGGCAGATGCGTCCAGTTGCATTGGTACGAAGAGGTACGGATACGCGGCGTGTCTGCCACGGCATTTGCACGTAACATAGGTACTAAGCACCAAAGGTCAAAAAGGTAATGGGCGATGAGACATGTACCTTGGGTGCGTTGTCAGCAGCCAAAAGGTACTTGCTAACACATCGCAATCCTTCCATTTACTTCGTGACGGAAGGCACTATTTTATTTTTGCTAGCGTTTAGTGCCTGCCTGGAGTCTGGACGACTGCGTACACACCTAGCACCGTGGCACCGTGGCACCGCAAAGTCCGTCATTGGCTCCGTCAGACTGGATCCGGCCCCTCCCATCCCAAAGTGCGGAGCAATTGACAGTTGCAACCCTCCCAAAGTCATAGCAAGCATCGGCAGCCCTGCAATGAAAGCAGGCATTGCAAAGCAGGATTCAGGAACAAGAACACTTTTTTGCTGGGGTTGTTCGGGGCTGGCTTGTGCTTGCACTGCTTGGCCGGCTGGGGCTGGTGGAGTGGCGGCTCGCAGATGTGTTGACACGTCCCCATGTACTCCACCACCAATTTCACTATGAGAGTCGACTTTGACAGCTCACCTAACCACCTCACCACCCGCCCACCACCATCGGCACCCGCATCATCAACCCACGGGCAGCGGAGGCCGAGAGGAAGCCACCCTCAGGCTTCAGCTGTCAATGTCAGTCCCTCCCATGCACCTTCCGGGCTGTGCTCTCTCTCTTTCCAAAGTGCACTACGGAGTAATTACGACGACTACGAATCACTCAGCATTGAGCAACAGAACAGCCACTCTACTCTCTCAGCCGACCTCTTTCCGGATCCATCCTCTCATGGGTACCTCAGTAATAGAGTCTGCACTCACGCAACCAAAAAAGCCCACCGGCTTTTGCTTTCACGCGCATGCGGCTCCTGATTCAATCCCATCTTTAATCTTATTCTGCATGCCTCGGTCGCGGCAGCTTCGAGACATTAATCAGAGGACAAGACAGGCGTGCCTCCAGCAAAAACCAGTCAACCACCCCTCCCCGCTCCGTCACCACTCGTCGAATCGTCTCCAATTCCCATCTCGATTGTTGGTAGGCTGAAACAGCCCGCTGATGGAGGGGACTGCCAGTACGAAGTATTCATTCGACCCAGGCTCGCGTTTAATCACTACGGATCGCACATCGCAATGACTGAGAATGCGTCTTGTTACGAGTTGACTGTACAAGATGAGCTTCTTCCCACTCCTTCGTTCTCAACTTCTGAAGGGTTCGCCAGATGACGCCATGGCCTGCCTCATTCATCAGCTTGTCGACAGAGTCCAGATGGCGAGGCCACCCAAGTACCTAGAATGAAGCGCCTACAGGGCCCCTGCGACAGGAATCCGATCTCCCTCATCCGATATTTCGTTCCGGCGTATCTGTACGACAAATCGTTTGCGGCGCGTACACATCCTCCGTGATCCTCGTGATGGATGGCACCCAATCTGCACCTCAGCCGCCATGCCGCGTGTTGAGGCGACATGCACCTCGTTTCGCACTTGGCTCGAGTCGGTATCGGCATCGCTACCAGAACCCTCGATTCTTCTGTGCTACCTACCTACGGACACTATGTACGCCATCACGAATGAACTCCCCAAAGAAACAGAGAACCGCACTCAAGCTAAACTACCCGCGGGCCGCCGTTTCTGCCCGCAACGCCTGTTTGCGGAATCGAAATTAACTTGCTAGCATCAAGGCCTGTCCAGCGGGACGTGGGACCTCATGGAATGCACCGTTGCAGACTCGAAGCAGGGAGAAATAGGTACACAAAAGTCACCAATCGCAGCCCGCGCACCGTCTCGTTGAAGCTGAACAGAGCCCGCCGCCCAGCCACTCTCGACGTGGCAGAGGTTAAACCCGCATGATGTCTCGCCCGTGCGTGGACATAGCGCGACGCACGCGATTAGACTATTACGATCTTGAGCTCTAGCCTTGCAATCTGTCAACTAATGATGCCTTCTAGACCGTGTACGATCATTGACAGCTGGTCTGCGTTCGCCGCTCGCGTTTCTAAGTCCGCCGCCATGAGACCGTCCATATACAGGTTGTAGCGACCCGAGCATGCCATATAGCGATCTGCATCAGGGAAGCCAACCAGACTTCAGAGCCTTACGGCTGCTGGGTCGAGGACGGGGTCACATCTCACGTTCAAATCCCCGTCCGGCATCAGAGATATGTGGGTGCCTTGCGGCTCGCTAAGCCCAGGAGCCCGCGCTGCCCGTGTCCCCCCTGACGAGGGATATGTTTAGCAAAGACGAGGTGAAATCCAAGTCTGATGAACATCGGATCAAACCCCCTGAGAGCTGCGCCTGGTGTCGAAAGATTGTTCTGCGGCTGCAAAACTGGCTTTACCGGAGCAGTGCCCCGGAGGGAACACTACGTGAGTACCTACACATTACAGCGCAATGCCCTTGTCGCTCGCATGAACAGCAGGTTTGAGCCATTTTGAGTTCCTCGGTCATCCGAGTCTCACACGCCTGCCTCTGGGATGACCTTGCAAGAACTTCAGACCGAGGGGTGCCGAGCCTCCGCCGGGCTTCCCCTGTGGCCTGTGCCCGCCCCTTGAAAGCCAGAGGTCGATGACGACAAATTGTCGAACTCCAGTCTCCCGCCTTGCAGACGCACAAAGTTGGGACAACATAAGGGGTCGGATGCGCCATAGTCGCACTGCGTACCACTCTGCCATCTGTTGACCTTCAACTATTGAAAGCTTACATTCATGAGGAGACGTCTGAGACGACGTCGACTGGGCTCACTGAAGATGTTGTACGGAGTACAGCACACGAGAATCGACAACGCCTGCCGTGCTGTTCTACCAGTACGTACAGAGTAGGGGAGTAGTAATACCTAGGTACTCGTACCGCCCACAGCACCACTCGATTCGAATGGGACAAGCGGCCGTTTGATTGAGGAGCGACGTCCGCGGGCTTGGCACGAAAAAGGACGCATTGCAGCGGACCAACGACAAAGGCCTTGTTCCTGTTGGTCCAAGTCCAGCCAGCCCTCGAATGGTTCGCATCGCGGCATGCAGGTTACGTTCTTGCGGGAACCCGCATTGCGGAAAATATATTAACATTAAAATGATTTTTGGGGCAGCCTTTGTGGAAGGATGGAGCAGAGACGCGACGGTTTGTTTCACACCGGCAGGATTTTTAAGATGAAATTCGATCCGCACCCATTCCACATCTTGGTGTCATGGTGAGCGAGCACCCTCACTGTTCAGTCACAATGTCACACCGTAAGGTAGTTCATCGTTCCCGCTGGCCCGCCCTGCTTACTCTGCCGCCCGATTGATTTGATTAACGAGGCGACTGCTCAATTGCTGGCCGGGAAGCTCGGGGCGATTCGGTCGAAGGCCGGGCGATGTGAGGAGCTTTCCCCCCCTCAAGTTTTTGGGAGCAATGAAGCGGGTTGCCAAGCACACCAGGCCGATTTGATCTCCGAAGCCGTTACATTTCCACCTCACCGGCTAACACCCTGGTTCTGTCAAAGTCTGGACGTGTGTCTTCGCATTCTTGTTTTTTCGACCGCCCGTTGTCGATGAAGGTGTCGCATCGAGCACTTGTGTGCAGAAAGTCTCTGTTTTGGTACGACTCGACTCCAAGTAAACTCATGAGCTAGGGTTCAGACCGACATCTTCATCGCTGTCTTTGACTTTTGTTTTTTAGGACTCAAGACGGGAGACATTGACCCAAAAATGCTCTTTCAGTCTCCGCTCCCGGAGAGACTTGTGCGATCACGTGCTTCACGGCGGGAGTTGTCGTCACAGGCGATAAGGCACGTTTCTGGGCTTATCGCGCGGGCAAGCATCCGATGAGGACCCCGACAGAAACGGAGCTTAACTGTATGCAGGAGGCAGATTAGCAATCCTCGTCGGCCACAATGCGAAAGTCGGAGAGATAGCGGGGAGAGATAGGGGAATCAGTTGACTTCTTATACGACCGGCAATTGGTAATTGCGTCTCTTGTTTGGAGCGATTCAACGTTTTTTGGTCAAAGGGGGAGAAGACAGCAGAAGTCTCGCGAGTAATTTCATCATCACCAGCAACACTCACTAGTTTCGGCCGCCACCTGTTCCGTGAAGATGACCGGCTCCGTCAATGGCACCTCCGTTCCGACGGAGACGTCGCCGCTACTGCGCAACTCCGACGCGGATGCGGCCAACGGCAACGGCACCATCGACAATGGCGGTCAGCAGAACGGCGCCACGTCCGCGGCCGCCCCCGACGCCGATGAGAATCGGGACGGCAACCCGGAGATGGCCAAGAAGATGCACTTTCTTCTTCCGGCCGTCGGCATCGGTGTAGGTTCCACTCTCCCAGCCCGGGCCCTCCTTGGCGCAAGTCTCCGGGCGGCGGCGGTGGCTCGGGTCGAACCCTTTAGAATCGGCGGGGACTGACTGGCGTTTTTTTCTAGATCTATCTCTGCGCCGTCGACCAGCTGCTCACCGTGGCGACGTACGCCAAGATCGGGAGCGAGCTCCATGCGCTGAATTACACGAGCTGGCTCGCAACATCGTGAGTGAAGCACCCTTCCTCCCCCCGTCAGAGACGATTGTGACATCCAGTCTCGTGTGTGATGTAAGATGAGACAAAGTACTAAAGTGATGGCCCGGCAGCTACTACATCACCCTAACCAGCTTCCAACCCCTCTACGGCAAACTCAGCGACATCTTTGGCCGCAAAGAGTGCCTCCTCTTCGCCTACACAATCTTCGCCATCGGCTCCCTGGGCTGCGGCCTCGCCCAGACCTTCACCCAGCTCTGCGTCGCCCGCGCCATAGCCGGCATCGGCGGCGGCGGCATGAACAGCGTCGTCGCCATCCTCCTTAGCGACATTGTCCCCCTCCGCGATCGCGGCGTCTGGCAGGGGTACCTCAACATCATCTTCGCCGCCGGCACGTCCACCGGCGCGCCCCTCGGCGGCCTCCTCGCCGACTCCGTCGGCTGGCGCTGGTCCTTCACCGGCCAGGTCCCGCTCTGCGTCCTCGCCTTTTTGGCCGTGTACTTTGTCCTCGACGTCCCGCGGACGGACCACGCCCACTGGCGCGAAAAGGTGCGGCGCATCGACTTCCTCGGCGCCGCCACGCTCGTCGCCGCCGTCGTCGCGCTCCTCGTCGGTCTGGATTCCGGTTCCAACAACGGCTGGTCGAGCCGGCTTACCGTCGCCGCGCTCGCCGCCACGCCCGTGCTGTTCTCCGTCTTCGTCTACGTCGAGATGCGCGTCGCTTCGCATCCCTTTGCGCCGGGCCACATCATCTTTGACCGCTCGCTGTTCGCGTGCTACCTCGCAAACTTCTTCGGCATCGCGGGCCACATTGCATCCATCTTCTTCATCCCGTTGTTCTTCCAGGCTGTCCAGGGCACCTCGGCCACCCTCGCGGGCGCAGCGCTCGTGCCGGCCATGATCACCTCCGTGACGGCGAGCGTCAGCTCCGGCTACTTTATGAAGCGCAAGGGCCGTTATTACACGCTGACGGTGCTGGCGTACGGCCTCATGGTCGTCGCCGTGGCGCCGACGGTCGCGGCGCTGTATTTCCGGTCCTCGGCGGGCGTGGTGGGCGGCATGGCGCTGCTTGCGCTCGGGGGCGGCGCGGGTATCACGACCACGTTGGTCGCGCTGCTGGCTAATGCGGCGGCACGGGATTCGGCTGTCGTGGTGGCGTGTTCGTATCTGTTCCGGAGCCTGGGGTCGAGTATCGGGATTAGCGTGTGCTCGTCTGTGCTGCAGCAGGTGTTGCGGACGCAGCTGGCGGCAAGGCTGAGTGATGGTGATGAGGCGAGGAGGGTGGAGGAGAGGGTCAGGGAGAGTTTGGATTACATCCGGGAGCTGCCGCCTGCTGTTGCTGGGGAGGTGAGGTCGAGTTATCAGGTTGCGACGTTGGGGGCCATGGTGCCTATGGCGGCGTTGCTTGTGCTTGCTTTTGGGAGCACCTTCTTTATCAAGGAGAAGGCTCTGGGGAAGAAGTAAGGGTGTGAGAGGGAGAGTATGGAGAGGTGTTCTTCCCCCTTGGAGTGGAAGCTTCATGGCGAGGTGTGCATCCGCGACCTGGTGTACTCTATACATTTGGAGGAGAGATGCTGTAGTAGTGAAAACTACATGTAGCGGGACAGGGTTCGCTATATCTGTACCGGCTTGGCATATCTTAGGACTCTGTGTAACGCAATGGGTTGGCTTATAAGCGCGTCCATACTCTGTATATATACCTCACGTAGAGTCTCCGAACCCAAGACTTAATCTCTCAACCCAAAGAAGCTCTGGGATCTTGCGCAAGGTTGAGACAGCATTTTCCGAGACAATATCGAAAGACATCATTCTACCCTACCAGCGGGATATAGGTCAATGCTGGGAACTCACTGGCTAGGAGAGTAATCAAACAACGTCCCAATCCAAACGTTCTATCTTACAGCGCCGATAGCTATCTATAATCTATTCTTGCCTGAATATAGTCGGACTGAGAGGCGAGACAGGATGCTGAGCGGGCTAGGTGCTTTGATGATGTCGTGATAGACGTCACCATCATACAGCATTTAGACTGAATTCTCGACGAGGAAAGCCCGCCATAATTTGAGGGCTTCTCTTAGAAGGCAACCGAGATCCAAGCATCGGATTCTGACGAAAATCTTCAAGCACACTTTCGCCACAAACGCCGCAAGAGAAAGCGGGGTTTTGATTGAACTTGTGTTATTCGAGACATGAAGTTTCGTTGTGGGAGATATATACCAGGCACGAGGTCAGTTCTACGGACATGCCACCACATCAAGCTAAAGCTAATTTCCTGGCAGCCTGGCACAGATACTTTAGGCACGCATATTTCCGTAGTTTATCTTGCTTCTATGGACCGACTCGGTCACTTCTAGTCTTCTGAGGTTACTAGCAGCATAGAATTGAGGTCAACCAGTCGCGAAAGCGAAGCCTACAGGGGGTGGAAAGCTTGTCTTCAAGTCTCTCCGCTTTGAATTTTCGTTCCCTATACGAATATCCCGAAAGTTGTAGAAAACGATGAGATGCTGCTATTGATGGCGGGTTAGACAGACGAAGTTTCGGAATCTTGTATTCACAAAAACCTGACTGCGTACTCGCATCGTGTGAGGGCAATGACAGACCGCTATATAGAAAGCATGACGGTGAGGGCCATCCACTTTTCGAGATTCCATCTATTTCTCCCGGAGAACAGAAGCTGATATTGAAACTAAGCCTTCCTCAAGCTCAACTTTAGTCATAGTGACTGATGTCTCCAAGAGGTTGAAATGAATGTGCGCTGTGAGCTGGTGAGGGCCAACTAAGAATTTCGCCAAACGAGCAAGAGGGTTCCTGAGCCTTTGATGAGATTGACTGTATTGTGGTATAATATGAACCCTAAGACCTTCAAAAAAATATTCACTGTTCCTCTCCCAGAAGAATGCCACTTTAGCCACCACCATTACCTCCACAAGCTCGCCTGCCGAATCCGCCAGACTCCATGTCTCTAGTCTCGAACTTGGCCTCATCAACTTCGAAAGGAAACCTGGCATTCTGTCGCTCGACCGGGTCGGCGCTGTCATACAGGTCCGTCTTGAGAGGGTCGACGGCGCCGCCGAGCGGGATGGAGTCTTCTTCGCTGAAGAACATGAAAAAGGTGTCGGCAGGCTTCGTGCCGTCGCAGTTGGTGTCCGCCGCGACGACGTTGTTTTGGTTGGCGCAGTAGGTCTTTGCGCCCTCGGCGACGCGGGCGACGAGGATGGCGGCGGCCAGGGATTTCAGGCCCGGCAGGGCGACGTGTTGTCGCTTCATGGTGGATGTTGTTGCCGTGTCTCTTTGAAATGTAATGAATGTAAAGGGTTGGCTTGGCTTTTAAAGAGAGTCGTGAGCCAGGGTGTTGTGGCCTAGCTGGGGAGACATCGGGTTATAGATTTGGATGCGAAGCGCTCAGCCTGTCACTTATAATGCTCATCCTCACTTAAAAAGCTCCGAGCCGCTCGCAACTTGAGAGTTGGAGTCATAATACAACCAGCTTTAGTAAAAGTGGTAACCAAGTTACCAACTAGACCCGGGGCTGTAATACTCGCTCCATCAAGGGAGCCTATACTTGGAATCATCAATTAGACACACTGGGGGAAATTGACTACGGAGCCTCCGAGTGCGGTTTCATCGGCCTTTACTGCTAAATCTCGGTTTCCGTCGGACCCTGCGGGAGCCGGTGTGGTTTTTGAGGCTGGCAAGCGACCTCGTGAGTACCGTGGTAAGTTTAAGTATTCTGCGAAGAAGCCAACCAGTACGCTGTTCTTTGATAATGTTAGGCAGAGGAAACGAGTGCACAGTCTTTGCTATTTTGAGTTGAGAAAATAAGTGCTTTGCGGCGCCGACGGAGAACGACCAGAACTTTTGCGGGATCCCGGCGGATTGGTGTAACAATATCGAAAACATGTGGGGTTGGGCGTAGTGACTTTGAGAGGGAGAATAGATTCCCATGGCTACTATACGTTGCTTGGTGCCCTTTATGTTGTACCCTTTTGGTTATCTTGCGATACTTGCTATGTCTTCGGCATGGCGTCACACAAATACTCAACATCGCTTGGTCAATGACGATCCGTAAATCCCAGTCTATATTTTCCCTTTTCTTCTCCTGCGGAATGCAATCATGAGCAATTTTTGGTGGCACATGCGGTAGCCATATCGACGACGAGGCCGCCGAAGCGCTCTTTTCATCCCTTCTCATAACAATCTGAAAGCAAGTGACCCCCGACCCACAACCGACTCAAGAGCCAGCCATAGTCACAGTCCGAGAAACCCTACGCCGACACAGCCCATCTCAGCTTAGACGTTGAGCTCAGCAGCACCAGTGTTCTTGATGTACTCGGCATAGGCCTTGATCTGCTCCTGGACGGGACCGCCCTCGCCGCAGTAGCGCTGGACCATGGTCGCGGAGCGGCCGGTGAACAGGTTCGGGTCCAGCAGCTGGTCGATGGAGTCCCAGACGGGCTTGAAGTACTCCGTGGCCTTGATGCGCTCGATGAGGTCGTTCTTGCCGCCCTGCTTCTTGACGACGTCGGCGGCCTGGTGGGACAGGACGCGGATCTCCTCGTGGGCTTCCTGGCGGGAACCACCCTTGGCGACGATCTTCATGATGATGTTCTCGGTTGCCTTTTCCATGAATGTTAGCCGATTTGTGCGCGAAACCCAACATTCTTTCCAGGGTGTGTTTTAGCCTTACCATGAAGGGGAGCTCCTCCATCACGTGGGCGCGAATGACCTCGGGGTAGATGACCTGCGTAGCTGTGAGCGATATGTTTCATGGTGGTTGGGATAGACACGCGTATTTGTTGTTCCCGAGTCTGGAAGGGGTGAACAGGATGACTTACCAGGCCGGACGTGACGTTGTCAAGTCCAAGAAGGATGGCATCTGAGCATGTTAGCACAGCTTTGACAACAGAGCAGTGCATATAGGTATCTAGAGCCGCTCATAACTGACCTGCCAAGAGGAACATCTATTACTGGTTAGTCCCACGTACTCATACTCGTAGACGGAGTGAACTTGCCTCAGGGATATCGATTCTGCGAATAGCAGAGTCGTCGAGAGTTCGCTCAACTAAGCCGTTGCCATTAGCAACTTGGGAGTTTCATCAGGGTCGGGGGTTTAGGGGACTTACACCACTGGTCCGCGTACGTATCCGCGAAGTTGGCTGGCAGGGAGCGCAGCTAGGTTATGTCAGCATCAATCCTCTTCCACGCCCTGGGACAGACGAACCTTGCGTCCGAGAGAGCAGATACGCTCGCTGCGCATGGGGTTTCTAATAATGGTGTCAGCTCGGTGGAATGATCTCAGTCGTTGCTAAAGGGCGCCAGTGCGAGCATCTAGTGTGGACAAGCGTGCCATCTGCTGAGATCCTTTCATGGCGAAAGGGGGAAAGAGAAAACGCGGGTGTCTCTACCTCTTGTACGCCCTGTGGTGAAGTCAGTCAATCAACTCTTTTGCAAGTTAGGAATTGCACATACATTGCTGAGGAACCGATTTGGTCCTTCTCTGGAGACACTGTCAGCCCGATACTCAAACATCATCCATACTCCCCTTTTTCCGAACTCTCCGCTGAAAGGTTCCTTGAGGATGCAGGGATTCAGGAGGCAAGAGAGCCTTTCAACTACTCACCAAAAGGCTCTTCCATCTCCTTGGAGTGGGCGAGGTGACGGATGTCATTGGTAATGTGCATGGCGGTTGCGCCGAGGCCGCAAATCGCGTTGCTGACGTCGAGATCCGTCTTGCGGGTGTATGTCTGGGTTGAGATGTCATAGGTCTTGGGGAAGCCGGCCTTCTCGCAGAGAAGGTCGTTGAGCTTGTCAATCTTGGCGCCATCTCCCTGGAAGATCTCCATAAAGGAAGCCTGCGTTCCGGTGGTTCCCATCGCACCGCGGAATGCCAAGCGCTCGCGCGCAGTCTCGATGTTCTTCAAGTCCATGCACAAATCCTGGATCCACTGTGCGGCGCGGCGTCCCACGGTAATGAGTCTTACCAGATGTCAATGTGTATTCTTGGCACAGAAATAGGGGTGAGACTCACTGTGCGGCCTGGTAGTGGGTGAATCCCAGAGTTGCGAGCCTGTAGATTTTGTTAGTCACTATAGGACCTCGCAGGCGGATCATTCCCGAAACTACGCCGATCCAACCGCTCGATCGAGCCTTGACTTACTCCTTGTGCTGAAGAGCGAACTGGGAGAGGTTTTGGATGACCTTAGCCAGCTTGGGCAAGAGAAGGTCCATAGCATTTCTGCCAGGCGTTAGTTTTCAACCTCTGAAGTCATCTTTCTCGCATTACCTCATAAGGATGAGCTCTGCGTTATCCTGTAACACATTATGTCAGCCACTATTTCACAAGACCGTCTCAGAGACCTTTAAATTGTTCCAAGGAGCCTTGAAACAGTACAAGACGGCTCCCTTGACGCAAGCGAACATGAGGCAACATACAGTGACGAAGCAGCTCGTGGCACCTGTATACACAATAAGTATGAAGAACACAACATGCATCGCAGATTTAACTGAGTTCTTACCGAGATGAATGATGCCAGCGGCGGCAGGCGCAACTTGGCCGAAAGCGTGGACGTCTGCGAATAACTATGTCAACACCTCAGGCTGATCCGTGTAAGAGCCCACGCCCAAACAAACCACTTACGAGCCATCTGTGAGAAGCCGATTAATATTTGAGCAAATTTTACCAGAGTCAACACATTTACTCACCACGTCATGACGACGTCTCTTCTCCTCAACGGCAGCCACCTTGAAGTCCTCGTCGGTCAATGTCAGGTGAGCTCTCATTTGCTCCAAAGCCTCCTCAGAGATTCCATCGATGCCAAGCTCCTTCTCGCCTATATTAACGTCGTCAGAAATGAGTCTGATCAGACCATGATGAGAGAAATTCCGTCACTCACTCTCAGCCAACCAAAGCCAGAGCTGTCTCCAAGTGGAATGACGGTTACGCTGGGAGAACAGCTTCTTGGCCTCCTCACTGGCGTATCTGCCATCGAGGGGCGTCTTGTACGTGTCGAGTCCGGACATTTTGAGATTTGTGTGTGTGATATTTTGAGGATCTTCACGCCTTACACAAAGAGGGAAAAACCTTTACGACAAAATAGTCACTCTCAGAAAGTAAATGCACGAAAATTGTCCGGCGACTGGCACTGACATGACTTGGACCGATCGCGGGGTACTTTTTAATTGGGCAGGCGGTCGCAGATTTCGCAGTGCCCCGCTGCCCCATAACAGGCCACCGACCCCTGCATTCTGTCGCTGCCCCTCCATCGCAGGTCTCTGGGCTCTCTTACCTCATCAGGTACGAAGAGCGGTACTTTGGCTTGGCCCAAGCTTCCGCCATCGCCTTGTTCCTCTCCAGCCACCTCCAACCACAACAAGAACTACATCCCAATCGATCAACACCTAATCTCTCCTTATCGCGTGCAGCTTTGGGTCTCTCGAAGCCTTGGGATGACAGTCCCGCTGCTTCTGTTTGATTGAATTTTGCAGGTCTCAGGGGAGCATTGCCTCTTCTCTGTAAGATGAGGACGCTCGATGAAGCCCAGTGAGTGCGAGTCGCATCATCACAGCTGTGACATCATATTCACCGACTAATCCAACTCATAGGACACGATGGGCCGAGACAGTGAAGCATGCAGGGCATCTGTCAGACTTGCAAAATGCAGTCAAATATAACGGGCCTTCGAGCCCATGCATTTCGGGACATCGGTCAATTTGTTGGAAGGTCGGTGTGCACTTCGAGGTTGATATCATCTCAACTTGGAGCTGACAGTCTCTTAGGCATTCCTGTTGATGCAAGACGACCCAACATCTGACTGGCTGCATCGACTTTCTGAATCGCGAAGTTTCTATTCCGAAAGGCGAGATCACTTCTTGAAGTTCATCAAGCATCCTGAGGAGCTGGCCAAGGTAGCTATTGATCCATTGACGGACGATCCAAAGGTGAGTAAAGATGAATCCAGCATCTCAGTCGCAGACTTGAGCTCACACATCACTCAGTCACCATGGAACACTGTTCGACAGGACGAGATAATCAGGGCTGAGATCGCGCAAGATGTTCGCCGATTGCCTGATGAACCATTCTACCAAGAGGAGCAAACACAGACCATGATTATCGACGCCTTGTTTGTGTACTGTAAGCTTCACCCTAATAGCGGTGGTTATCGACAGGGTATGCATGAGCTTCTGGCGCCCATCGCCTTCGTCGTCAACAAGGACGCGCTTGATGGTGTGGCCACCTCATCCAATGGCACAAGTGTCGATGAGACGATGCTCGGCATGCTCGACTCTTCCTTCATTGAACACGACGCGTTTGCGTTATTCTCCAAGATTATGGAGAAGGCAAGGTCGTTTTATGAAGTCCAAGACTCGATCTCAAAGGCGGCATTGGCGTCCGCCTCGAAAGAGCGCGTGGAAACATCAGCCATCGTCGAGAAGAGCAAACACATCCATGAGGTTCTATTGGCCAAGGTTGATCCTGAGCTGGCCAGCCATCTTAAAGACATTGATATTCTGCCACAGATCTTCCTGATGTGGGTCGACCATATTTATTAATGTTGACTTCCACTGACACATCACAGCCGCTGGATTCGCCTTCTCTTTGGTCGCGAGTTCCCATTTGATGAAATGCTCGTGCTATGGGATACTCTATTTGCAGTCGATCCGTCCCTCAGCTTGATAGATCTGATTTGTGTCGCAATGCTTCTTCGCATCCGCTGGAGCTGTAAGTGTTTCCAGATTGCCCCAACGTCGCTGGAACTGAACAATGGCAGTACTCGAGGCGGACTACTCCGTTTGTTTGCAATTGCTTCTCAAGTATCCTGCACCAGACGTTCCTCACGGACCGCATACTTTTGTGGATGATGCGGTGTATCTAAGAACACACCTCAATGTCTCCGGTGGCGTTTCGCTCCTTCTAAAGTACACCGGGAAAATGCCCAGCACGACACAATCTGCCAGCAGTTCGCGGCCCACGACACCAATGGGCCAAGCTTTCTCATCTTTCAGAAATAGAACCAAAGGTGGCCAGTCGCCGATCCCGTCTGCGAGTAGGTTTATCCAACAGCAGGGCGGTGTAGAGGCACTTTTCCAAGGCGCTGCTAAAAGCGTATTGGAGCGAGGCGAGAAGCTGGGCATTAATCAAGCTGTACGAGACGCCATGGGCGACATCAAAAGAAACATGCAAGGGCTGAACGAAGTACGCTATCCCCCTCGGATGGCAAAGCACCTACTAGGCGATGACTCGGCGGCACAGGCCATCGCTGCCATAGAGCAACGTAATAAATTGCTGGCCAACATGCTAGACGAGACAGTGACAAGTCTCAGGTCATTGGCCACTACTAATCTAGAAGACAAGGTCAAGACGTTGGAGCTTGTTGAGGTAGCGGCTGCTAAGGTGCAGTTTGTAAAGGTTTACTTGGAAGACCCGACTATCGAAGTACCAAATCTCGAGGGCTTCACCAGTCCACCGCCGGAGGAGGCAAACAACGAGACCCTGATGGAGATAGACGCAAACGATAGTGCTGTGCTAGGGGCGGCGGTCGCCGCGGAGAGTGTGGCAGGTGTCATTTCGACACTGTCTCTGGAAGATCAAGAGAAGACGAGATCCCCGACCTCGAAATCAGCAATTCCCGATATCATGGACATTGCACAAGAAGAACCCGCAGACAAACCAGCTGAACATCCGTCAGCTCTGGTATCAAGCCCGAAAGCTGACGCGCCTCGGGTGAAGCCATTGGAACGACCTCAACCGCCAATCCCGACACGATCAACCCTCGCCCAGTCTTCTTTCTCTTGGATGCTCGAGCCAGACCAATCCGCCCAGACTGCATCACCGCCCAAGTTGCCCAAGTCGAGCTCAGGAGGCGCGCATCGCAAGAAGCCATCTGGGAACATCAGCAGGGAACGTAACGCTTTTCTGTTTGGCGAGGTCGTCGCGGACTCCGACGACCAGACTTTGCCAATCAAGTCGGACGACATTTTCGGACTACAGCCCATGGACAAGCCAAAGTCTCCCTTTCCGTGATAATCACGAGTAGAGATGTAGATGAAGAATTAATGATGAGCAGTGCTACAGGAGCCAGCTATACGATGACTACGATGTTTGCTTGCGCAGAGATGCGTCGTTTATAGTAGATCGAGAGAAACAAGTCCTTTGAAGATAACTTTATTGCCGCCAGACTTTGCCAGTCACAAGATACACTACCTGTTCAAATTGCGAGACGTGATGGAATCGAATAGGTCATTGATAGGTTAAGAAATCCTGTCCCGTTCAAGTCGATAGTTAGAACGGATGTACATTGATCCCAACATCACACTCGAGATACCTCTCACCCCCTTGGAATTACACCGACGAAGAATCATTGACCAGGCAAAATTCAGTCACCAATGGTACCTCCCTGATAAACCTTTGATGCTCATCGTACCTCGCTGACTGGGAATTTCACTTGGCTGGGTAGGTAGGTAGCAGTGTGATCGGAAGGAGCGTCCTGGGCAGTAGAGTACGTACCTGGACCTTCCTCAACCTCTGGATGGTATATATTCCATCCCAACGCCGTTACTGTCACCAGCACCCACTGGACAGATTCATGACTCAACATTATGGATTTGGCCCAGTGGTATCGGCTCTGACGCAGAGTCGATATAAAACAAATACTCCAATGACTTCCGTGCTGGATCGAGGGGCGCGCTGTTCGAATCCGGACAGGGGCGTGAATTCCAGAGTCAGTATCCCCCAACCCCCTTTTCTTTTCTTTTTTGATTTCTCCATTGATTATTATCATTAACATTTTCTCTTTAACTTACCAGGGGCCGAAAGCAATTGGGAACCTCGTGGTCAAAATTGAATTCGAGCCAGCACTGATAGATCTCCAGGTCTGATGGACCGATCGATGGTATTTCAAATAGCCAGGTAGTCTTCCCCATGATGGATACCCACACGAGCAGCCGTAACTGTTTTGACAGCAGGCGTCTCTCAACGAATTACAGAAGGAGAGGTCACGGGCTATGCCTCATCACGTCTGCGCCCACTCTTATCCCTTTCAAAGGGCCAAAAGCTCGATGTTGCTTGCATATCCATATATTACACACTTACAACATCCACTGCTAGCTGCTACCACAAACTTTGAGATAAGCGTCAAATACATACCCCATCACGATACGGACAGTCAGATGCTCGTCCGGTCTCTAGAACTTTGCTCCAGCAAACGGGGCCCGCCTGACTTTCCGGCTTCCTTCCGCGCCAGTGAATGTGGGTGCCCGACGGCGCTGACGAGGATGTCGTTCCTGCCTCCATTTTAATGGAGACGAAGGGTCGTGGTGATAGCCGAGGAAGGAGCCTGCCCGTTGGCTTAATTACGCCTACCCGGTTGATGTTGGAACTTGACTGGACCACTCCACCCCGGAACTAACCCAGTGTGGATAAATTCTTCACGCCTTTGCAGAACCAACAACGTCCCCCGGTGTCAGGATGAGCCTAGGTAAATCCGTCATCTTCAGCCTCCACCTTGCCACATTGTTCCAACACAGATTCTACTTTTGCTTCGGACGTTTCGCCTCTCGCGGCATGTTCTCCTCGCATATCTGGTGAGCCAAGACCACTTCTTCAAAAACACTGCATGGACCGACGTCCAACACAAGTTACAAGGTTATCATCTAACCGGCCCACTTTCATCCCAGAACAATGCTCAATGTTCACCACTCTCGTCTCTACGGCCTTGGCGGTAGGGAGGGGCGTGGTTGTAGACCACGCCGGTTCAACGTCGAAAACACCACTAGGACAAGCGTTGATGTTTGTTGAAGACACCCACTGCTAGCACCTTGTTTGGCAGCATATCGCTTCGAGAAAGCTTCCACGCCGGATGAGGATGGCCATCGCATCGAGAGAGAACGCCAAGGCAAACAAGCAAGCCGCCCGACTCTTGGAATATTGAACGCTTTGGAGATGGACGTCCCCGTGCCAGCAGCCACCAGACCAGACTAGCCTCGGCCCCCGAAACCGCACGTTGGATGCGGGACAATATCTGGAGATACGCAGCCCTGCCGTTGAGAGCAAACATGAAGCGGGTCACCATCTTCACCGACCAATACTCTACCCGCCCCTGCATGTCCACGAGACATACAGAGAGGCAAGAAAGGAGCCAGGATATTGAAATGGGAAAAGAAGGCGGGGAACAAGGAGACCATCGTCAAAGGAAGGGACGCGGCAGATCCGAGTCCGAACGTCCACCACCTTGGGGCATCTGACAAACAACACCCACTGCACCCCTCAGGTGTGACTGGCAAACTTCGAAAATATGCACCACACTGCGAACAACCCGACCTTCTACCCAACGGTGCGTTTCTGTGTAGACAATAGCGATACGCAATTCTCCAAGGCAGAACGGTCTAGGGTGTGGAGTCGTCACATGAGGACAGCAATCAACAGCAATCAGCGCTTCCTCTAGATGGCTGAGCACAGCAACAGGAAGCAAACATTGAAGCAAACAGACAAATGGCCCCCCTACACGCTCCATTTTCAACAAGCCCCATTCTAAGGATACCGGGTGACAGATGAATCCAGCACCTCGTTACCCTGTCACCTCTCTTTCTTACATAAATTCACCAACATGACGGTCCCAACTGTCTGGTTCACCTCCGTTCCATTTTATTTGATAGGGGCAGAAACGAAGCTAGTATCCCATCAACGCCACCATCTCCAAGATTCTTCATCACCACCTCCATCTTGCATCGATCCTACTAGCGTTCTGGTCACCCACGCCACCCCCAGCTTGTCACTGTCTGCCAAACTCGTTCACAAAGGGCCAACGTGACGGTTCGCTGTCCCTATTCTAGAGGACACAAGCCGCCGCAGAAAGAATGGTTCACCCCTTACGGCCGCTTGGTTTTGCTACGCCGCTGCCTCTGGCCGGAGATCATCATGCGGTCGACCTATACATAAATTCCAACCGTACATCAGCCTCTATGCATTACAGCCCAGTCAACTCACGTCACACTGTCCGCTGTGACAAGCCGGTGACAGCTGCGCATAACATGCACGATGCCCGCCAGCCCGGTCAAAATTGACAAACCTGAGCTTACAAACACGCGTACGTACATTTACCTGACCAACAATGGACAGAAAAGACAAGGTAGACTGAGATACAGACAGACAGACCGCCCAAACCGCCCACCCAGTTCCAAAAATGTTTCTGCGTACGGACCTTGCCGCAGACGCCGGGCGAATATTTCTAGAGTACTCTGCAGACCAACGCTCGCAGCATTCTCTTTACGGTTCTGTAGCACAGCGCTAATGCTGCAAGCAATGCTGGATGAGGAACTCCCGCAAATCCAAATCCAAATGTCAATGGGTAATGTTTGTGAGATTCGACAATGGGTAACCTCGGACCATTCGCCTAATCCTCCTTGACCCAAGGGCAGATATCACCCGGTTTCAGGCGGGAGAAAGACAATGGTAGCAACAGTCTATCGTTGTTCAAAGGACGAAATTCCCACAAGGGTGTACCAACGTTTTGTTTTGCATCCGCCTCGTCTCACATTCACCTCTCCCTCGAAATCCCCATAAGGCGGATTACGTCGAGAACAAGATCCGACGGCCCGTTTCTGTTGTCCGTGCAAACCAAACAATGGGTTTCCAGAACCCTGGAATGGGGTGATGGAAGACACGCACAAACCGTCTATTTCAGACTCGCAGCCAGACTTTGGATGTAATTTGAACTTGTGGTTTGATTCCTAGTGATTTCTAAAATCTACTAATCCCTTTATTTCCGTGTTCCAGGAAAACTCCCAACCAACCGACCAACCAAAACCTCTAAGTGTGGCCCCCAGACAAGCAATCAGGAACCCAACACCTTCTCGTCTCCCCAACCCGATCCCACCCTCTTTGACGTTTCATAATCCCATTGTAAAATGCATTGTGGACACATTTCGTATGTCGTAGTCCCCACGTACCATGCGTGAAGAACCAAAAAGATGATGAATGAGAAGAAAAAAACGTAGTTCCAAATCTTCGCCGAGATGCTCCGACTAACAATCCGCACCCCCCCTTCCCTTTCCACACAACGCGCCACACCACACTGGTATCTTCTTTTTTCGCCCCAATTGTAGTTGTAAAAACAGAACAGAAAATGAATAATGCTTTCTCTTTCAACTCCTTGTCATCAACGTTTCCCTTGATCCCATTGTTCCCATGTTCCATGCTATCTTGATCGATGCACACACACCACACCCCATTCCCTCCCCCAAAAAATTTTTCCCTCTCTTGCTGCTCGGCGTATCCTGCGCTTGTTGCTGTGCCGCCCCTATGGTGGAAAAAAGAGCCTGCCCAGCTTTTGCCCCGTTGGTACCGTGACCATGATGCAGGGAAGTGGGAAAACAAGAAGTGAAGAAAACGGAATAACCAAAGAAAAACTACTCCCATGTTGCTTTGTTCAACGCCTCCAAACACCGCCACCCCTTCGTCAGACGGGGGGGGGGGAAACGGAGTTGCTCTGTTCTTTTCGTCATCGTACACAAGTACTATCCCATTTCTGAAAACCAAGTTTTTTTTTGTGCGAGTCTCTTGCGCTTTTGGATAGAAGAATGATTACACGCTGAATGCGTGATGTTTTGTGTATTCCGTGTTTTCTTTTGGGCGAGATTGTAAAGGGGCTGTTTCGTGCAGCTTTTCCTCAAAGTGTGTAGTATATAGTTTCCCGAAGGAATAAGAATGAAAAGAGATATAAAGAGAATGAGGAGAAACTGAAGAGTAGAGAAGACGATTCAAAGACGGCTGTTCTGGATGGCTCGTCTCCTCTTCTTCCGTGTCTCCGCGTCGTTGAGCTGAGCTTGTCTTGCGCGACCTGGTATACACGTTAGTTCCATTGCTAGTCTCCATGCTATCAAGAAAACAACTTACCAAGCTTGTCGTACTGCCGCTTGTGCTCTTCCGAAACCCACGCGTAGGTGATGGCGCGCTCGGGGTGCATGCCCAACAGGCCAATCGAGTTGTTCATCTTCTTCCCTTGCTCCCGGACGTCGCACTGGAACGTCTTTGGGTTGTCGTCCTCGTCAAAGACGAGCAGGTTGTTGGGGTCCGTGGCGGGGATCTGCTTATTCTTGCGGTAGTAGACGCCCTGGAGCCCTTGGGGCCCGCGCTTGTGGCCCTTTGCGGCGTCCTCGGGGAAGACGGAGGCGTACTTGGCCTCGACCTCCTTCCAGGACAGGTGGTGGTCGACGCGGAAGTAGTCGATGAAGTCGACCTGCTGGATCGTGTACTTCACGTTGCAGCGGGACCCCGTTGGTGAGCGGCGGGGTCGACGGCTGGGGCTGCAGCCGGTCCGGAGGGTAACTGGTAACCTGTGCTGGAGACGGCGGCTGGGTGGCGAGAGGGGGTTGCGGTGGGAGTTGCTGAAGGTGGGCGAGGGGAGAGCGTCCGGGTAGGCCATCGGTGGCATCGGGATTCGGTAGGCTGTTGAGGAAGAGAGGTCCATTCTGGGTTCTTGGAAGGAGCCGAGGGAGTCGATACTACTTCGGCGAGGCCCTCCGGTCATGGCGGACGGCATGAAGCTCGGGCTGGGAACGAATTCGGACTCGGGGAGCCGCAGATCCAGTTCACGAAGGCGGGGGAGCGTAATTTGTGCCGTGCTATCCTTGGTGAAGGAAAGTTGGCTGTTGACGGAAGGGAGGTCTGGTGACCGCGGCTCAGGAGATGAGAATTGAGAGTTTGTTGATCTCGTCATGGCTGGAAGTTGATGTAAGCTTCAAAGCCTACCATGAATAATACTTGTATGAGGAACTTGTATCCTACCATCTGACTTGATTGAGGTGAAGCTCTGAGTGGGAGAAGGGAGCGTGGGCGACTTGATGTTGAATGATGCCATGGAGGCCAACGTTGTTGCCACTTCCACCTCATGACGCTGGCCCGGCTTCGTATCGTTACGAGCGTCCACATCCATCCTGTCGTCGAAGCTGAATGATGAGAGGCTTGGTAGTACTCTTGGTACGTCGTCGGTGCGGCTCTGGTGGTAGCTCATGGTTGGCGGAGGCGGCAGCCTGTCCATGCCGTCTTGGTGATCTTGTAACCTGACGAACATGTTGTCTGATGTTGTAGGTAGTAGACGTCGAGGTCCGGAGTCAAGGTAGTAACTCAGATCAAGAGCGTAAGCCAGCAAAAGAGAAGAAAGGCAGAAATGATGCCTAACAATTGCGGAGATCTTGATCAAGGAACAACAACGTTGAAAGTGTAAGATCTTTGGGGGCGAAAGGTGTGTGTTGATCGGGAGGAAGAAACAAGACGAGTCATCGACAACGGGTCAGACCCTGATTATCAAGTTCCCGGCCGCGATGGATCTCTGTCTCTGTTATATCTCTTTTTCTCTGGGACACTCTTCTTTCCACACGGTTGAGAAAGAAAAGAGCCAGGACCCCGGTTCGACGGGGTTGAGTTGAAGACCAGGTTTATCTCTATAGCTCCAAGCAAGGGCCAGGGAGATCGGGGCTCCGCTCGGAGGCTTCTGACAGCGAAAAGCCGTTTCTTATTTTTTCTTCGGTGCTAAAGCAGGCAATGTGCAGACGCAACCAAATGTGTAGATCCATGGCATGTATCATGCAGGTCGCCCAATCTGTCAGGTCTGGCTGGCGCCGAGCGCCCCTCATCCAGGGTCAAGATCCTGGTTCATCACCTGGGGGAGAGACTCAGAGAGTGAGAGAGACATGGAGAGGATGCGCGCTTCTCTTCCAACTTCCAAGTACCTAGGTAGTGACCTACCTACCTACCTACCTACCTAGTTCTGGGTGCGTCAGTGGGTGGCTTTCCTCCCGTGCCCCCCCCTCAATTGTGTAATGCATGCCGTTGCAGGAGAACCCATCTTCCTTACGCCACCGCCTTTGAATGGAGGCATGTAGCAAACAGGGTCGTGGCCTGTTTGGGAATGACGAGGATGGAGCGCGGGCATGCAACTGATGGCAGCAGGATCAATAGAAAGCAGCAACAGCAGTTCCTAGTAAAGAAGAGGAGAGAGTGAGACCTCAGACGGGGAGGCGTGAATGAGGGAACCGAAGGAAGCGACAGCGCCCGCAGGTAATAGGTGGGGTGGTTTGCGAGATCATGGACAGCTTGCAAGGGAGAAAGAGAGGGAGAGGGAGAGAGAGAGAGAGTTGCTCCAGTCGAAGAAGCAGTCCCATAGTCGAGATGAGAGTGCATCACAGTACTCCGTAACCATACCTACTTCAGTCTTCCGTGGAGGGCCCGGGTAATGAAGGGGAATAGTGCCATCTGTAGTGCAGCCGCTGCCCGAGGTGCCCCTCCACCCAGTGCAGTGCAAGCCCAGCCAGGATCCAGGCACTCCAGGCCGTGCCAGCCCAGACTCAGAGCGAGGGCGAGCCCGAGCCCGTGTGGATGCGAGTGCAGGTGGTATTCGGGACCTGCTGCACAGTCGATATTCTCCTCCGGGGGCGCTAGTCTTAGATCGAGCTGCGCGTCACAACTGGTGCGTGAGGTGGTAGTCGCTCGGGGGCCAAGCCGCGAGTTCCACTGTCTTCCGGACGTAGCAGAGACGAATAACGAACGATTAGAGATACTCGATCGGGACACTTCGAGGTGTGGGTATAAGGTGGAGATAAACACACCCGCGCAAACAAGTTCATCGTCGTCCGTGCCTTTTTTTTTTCTTCTTTTTTTTTTCTTTTTTCTTTTTCGCTCTCCGCCCTTGTCGGGTACGGATGCTCTTTACACAGTCGTGACAGTAAAGACTTTGAGGTGAGCAAGGAACCGCCAGGCATATGCCATGTCTGCTTTGCTTCGTGTGACTTCAACCCTCATTTACTGTTGGACCAACACGAGACTGCCATTGGATAGACTCAGGGGGCCCCCAAAAGCTGGACTCCCCAAGATTGGCAGCCGTGCACCAGTTGGACCATTGTCGTCCACGGTCCCGGGACTCTGGAACCCATGATTGCAATAATAGATAATCCTTCTACTCCTCCCCCTCCGATTTGGGGTTGGAGACAGGCTGTGTCCAACAGTGTTTGCTCTGATTGTTGTTCGTGGCTCATTGTCGTCGTCGTTTTGCAACGGCCATCCCCCATTCCCATACCCATGCCATACCGCCCAATACCTACCTCACCGAACCGCCATCCATGTGTTGTGTTTGCAGAATGGCCTGCTCACTCCACGGCAAGTCCTCGGCGTCAAGCCAGAGTCGGTGTGATTCTGGGATGCAGAATTGAGTGTCCTTTTGGCCACCCACCTACTTCTCCCCACACACACACACTCACATACCCGCCTCAAATCTCGCAGGAAATGCGCATCGTAATCTTTCAGGTTGTTGCTCGAGATACCTTTCTGATTTGGGAGAGACACACACATCGCTACGTTGTACCCGCTGATGAGATGGAGGGACCGATAAATGGCCGCCGATGGATGGCCACGCGGTAGTCGTCGACTGCAGCCGCCTTACCGCCGCCTCCCAGGGTCTGGAAAGACGGTTTGTGGGGCCGCCGTCGTGTCGAGTCTCGACAACCCGCTCACTCTCTTGCGGGGGCCCGCCCGACGAGGGTGCCATAGTCTGGTGAAGAGGCGGGAAAGGTTGGCAGGCGGGCAGGGTTGCGTACGCTTAGTTTGGCGCTGACCAGGGGGGGAGGGGTGTGATGGTGTCAAGAGTCCCCCAAAGTACGTAGCTGTGTTCCATAATGAGCAATCTGGATCTTCACCATGATTCGAGTCGGTAGGAATAAGAAACCACTGGCCGCCGCAGATTTCGATGGCCACAGATGGCGGCTGGGCTGGCGAAGACACTTGTCTTTAGGTGGAGAACCCGCTGCCACCCGGACTCTCCGCAAGACTCGGTCTATGGTAAGCATAATGCCGTAACGGTCTTCTTGTGTTGACTTGCAGCTCTGCTGCCCACTCATCTGCGAACCTGCTGCCGGCCGGATCACCCTCTGGCCAACCAACGAACCCCAGGTTTCTTATTCCATAGAGCCAGAGAGGCATCTTATTACCCTGCCTGTCTCGTCTCGTCTGGACTCTTCACTAGACTCAACTCGAGCCTGCCGTCAAATTCAGGGATCTTCCTCCCTTTGTTGAAGCCACGCGACGATGCCTTGTCGAGTGTGAGATGCAGGAGGGTTCGCCACGCTGCATCTACCTTTCTTTTTTCTCTTCGCAGTGCCTTTTACCGCTCAAACGCTCTGACGACTTTGCGACTCGAACCAGCCGACTCGTTAATGAGGAGACCCTTTGCGCCCCAGAAATACACCTCGAACCCATGTAATTGCTTGATTCTTGTTGGACCACCTCGAATCGCGGGCACGTTTCTGACTTGTTGGAGTTGGATCTGCAAACCGTCGCATCGGGCTTGCTTGCCCATCTCACAGCCTCCTACTCTGCGCCGCAAATCGCCCAACGTGTACCACACATGATTGCAGGAGGCCCCTTATGATGCTGGCTCGTTTTGAATGGCCCTGAACTTGGAAAATGTGCTTGCCGGTTGTTGGCGGCATTCGTACCACCACACGCGAAATGCCTGGATGCAAAATTACTTGCTGAGAACGAGCAAAAAGAAGCCTCGCGGATGGAACGTAAGCCACGAGATATGTGTGTTAGCACCGATATCCCGTTGTACCCGGTGTATCCGCCGAACCCTTTGCATTCTCTCTTGTATTCGTATCAGCCTTGGGGCTACTAAGAGGGACTCCGTGGAGCTATTCGGCCGAAATATCTTGGGTTGCCCGTTTCTGTTCATTGCATATGGTTTTGCTAGCCCAGCGCGTGTTTTGTTGGCAATAATACCACGTCAACTCATTCGCCCTGCGGACGTGTGGCTACCCGTAGTTGTTTTTCTCCTCCTATTTCCTTTTGGAACCTGACCATCAACCTCGTCAGGCCAATACCCGCATTGAAATTCCGAAACAGACAAGCTCGCGGCTGGCTATGGGCCATGATCGACAGAAGCATGCCGCCCGATTGAGAATCCTCTCCTTGGTTAGCATTGTCTGCCATCTTGGTAACACCCTGAGAGTTCAGCAGTTCCAAAGCACGTCACACACCCCTCCATCATCACCTCTTCTGCAGTCGAACCAAGGCCAGGCTGTACTTTCCTTTCCCTGCAAGAGGCACATGCAGACTAAACGATGTTGCCATCCCCAGTCGTACACATGGCAATAGACCCTCGAGGCCTGGTCCATAAAAGAGCTCTTCACAAGGACGGCGAGCCCTATCCGACCCTCCTATCTCGCGCTGACGCAAAGCTGCCTTTGTCCACCGCTCTTTTGACATATGCGAGATGATCATGAGCTCCTCAAGAACTGCAGCTTGGCGAAATCGATGGTGTTGTGAAGGAGTTGAGAGTTGCCGTGACCACTGGCAGTACGCCCCGTGTACGAAGTACTTGCTAGACTCAACAGGAACGCTCCTCGTTGACCAGCTGAGTCAAATAGTGTAAACCTACACCGCTAGGCAGGCCAACCTCGAGCCAGATCCGAACATGATGCTAGGGTCTCGGCAAGGACACTAGGTGAGCGATTCGGAAGATGCATCCGGCACCGATCGGACCCCACGCAGCCGCTAGACTAAACCTTCTAGGAGAATGGTAATTCGAAATCGACCGAGAAGCCGAGCTTGACAATAGCAAGCGGGCGGTTGGTATTGTTGCGTCCTTTGACCGTATTAACGACAGAAGAACATTGTCCCAAATTTAGAGAGATTGCTTTGTAGGCATGCCTGCGGCACGGTATGCCAAGGTCGGTTTTCTTCAGCAAGCGTCGTACCAGATCTGATACTCATTTCGTTATTGCTATTATTCTGTATGCGAATATCCACTTCCCGGGGCTCAAGCAGGGACCGAGCAATGAGCGAGGCTGCGGAGCCTGGAGGTGGCGGGCACGGAAGCGGACACGGATCCGCGACGCTGAGCTGCACTGTGATAAGGAATCAGCCGATATTCGAGCTCTCGCCAGTAGACCCCGCGCATACCTTCATGAGCCAAGATGTCAAGGGATCGAAACCAGGTTACCATTCAGTGGACGGCAGCGGCGAGGCAAGGCGAGGCGAGACGAGACGCAAGATACAGGCACGTCAAGCGTCTTGCATGTGCTCATGACACAGGATAGACATTGAGCGCCAATGGCTGCCTCAGATACGAAATTGGATTTCTTCAGCTGAAGGAGCCGATCTCGGTGGGCAAAGATCAGACGGTGAAGGTAGGAGGAGCTGTGTGCTTCATGGTGGGGTTTCAGGCGCCAGTTCGTGTGCTGAAGGCATTCAATGAAGAGCAATGGGTGAGCAGTTGAAGTTGAAGAGATGGAACGATGAAATGGTGTGGCAGCTGTAAGATGAAAGTGGCAGGGGTCTTTCTGTCATGGATTCGGGGCTAGCCGCTGCGCTGACTGGCTCGCAGATTTGATGGCACCCAGCCCGTGCCAGAGACATGCAGATGATGCATCCCGCAGCAACCAGGCAAGTCTATCCGGCATTAGCTGCCATCGTGTATCGGCCGCAAGGACGGATGGTGCGGATCGGTTTCTACTTTCTAGTCAGGCTGGAGGACTAGAACGTTGTCGCAGCCTTCGACCCTTCTGAGCGACCCGTCGAGGAACTGTCCTTTGGAGAATCCTGAGAATGAAAAGAAGAAAGACTGCAATGCAAATGACGAAGCACGCCGCCAATGAGCCAATTCCTAGAGACGATGATGACCTGCAGCTCTGTGGGGAGAGACCTTGTCAGGTTTCACTTTTCCTTCCACCACCACGCCGAGCGCCACTCCAGCGTCGGCCTGCGAAGACTTTTCGGCCGTGGAAAAGGACTCGTCTCCTGAGAATCGCCTGTAGATGGTTACTTAAGTCAGCATTCTTCCGAGGACATCATCCGAAGATTCTCGGGCGGTGGTAAAGGAAATACGGGTAAGGAAAAGAAAACATAGGGAGGGGCGGCCCCTCGGTGGGTGTCGGGCAAAAGCAAGGGTGAGGGCCGGCCGAGGTCCCATTGGATTGATCTCAGCCAGGGCGCGCGCGTGGGTGCGGGTTGGAGCGGGAAATGCATCTTACCATCCCCTCTCTTCTCCTCCGCTCAAAAAGCTGCAATCGCTGTTGAGCTCACATACCCACCCGCCTCCAACTCCCCGACCATTTCTCCATGACCTGGTATCCGTGGTTGTGCCTGTTGGTTCCATTGTCAGTCGTGAAGCCCCATAGCCTGATGATGACGTAGGGGTTCAAATCCTACCATCGGTTCCTGGAGTTTCTGCTGAAGAAGAGGGCGATTTTCTCCGGTACATGCTTAACCCACAGGTAAAGGCTCGGAAGTCTTCCGCATCAATACTCTCGGGCATTTCGCCAGTAAGCACTCGGCCAAGGGCAATGATTGAGGCTGCGTGGGAGCACAGAACCACTGCGCGGTGGCCTTGGGCGTCGCATTGGTCAATGATGGCTTGTACACCAGCAGCGACACGGTCGTGCAATTGAGCGATAGTCTCGCCGTTGCGGGCGGGAAAGACGCGACTCTGATACGTGTCATCGATGTGAGGGAACATTGGCTTCAAGATGTCGGTTGAGGCCGGGGTCGGGTGCTCGAATGGAGCGGCGCCATACCATTCGCAGAGCCCGTGTTCGGGACGAATGGTGACAGCATCGGCTTTAGCGCCAACGTCTTTTTCCCGAAGGCGGTTGATAGTTTCCTGGTTGAGGGTAACAAAGGGCGTGATGGTTTGCAGACAACGATAGTAGGGGCTGGAATAGACTGCGTCGATTGGAGGCTCAACGGTCAGGAGGTGGGCGCCCAGCTCCTTGGCCTGGTCGACGCCATGGGCAGTCAATTCCGGATCCGCAGGTATTCCTGTCGGGGACGGGATGGAGGCCGTGTAGCTTCCCGTAGCAGGGTCGACAAGCCAGTTGGACCGGAACTGAAGAACGCCAAGGCCGTTTGTCAGAATGAAGTCTCTTCCTAAAACCAAGGTAGCAAGGCCAGCATCAACGGCGTGTCAAAGAAAATGGCACGCGGATCCCTATCAAGTACCAGGGTGTGCGTGTGGGTTTGGCGATGAATGGGTTGAATAGGTGAGAAGCCTCATGAGAGAACTTTTTTCGCGAAACCCCCATCTTCTCCGCCTTGCTCACTCGCGTTGAGTTGGAACGTTGGTTTCGGAGATGGAGCCAGATACGAAAGAAGACTGGACAAAAAGGGGCAAGGGGAAGACGGATACTTACTCCATGGCGGGTGATGTAGATTACTTCCAATGACATGTTGGAGACTAGAGAGCAAAGCGGAGCGTCGCAAGTTGTAACCCTGAAAGTAGACCAGATGGGGACAGAAGACGGGTAAGCAACGATGGGGTCGGGCGTGTCGTGTTTGTCGTCGTGTGTCGTATGTGTGTGTGTGTGTGTGTGTGTGCGCGCGCGTGGTGCTTGTCGGTTCCAGGTTAAGGTGAGGACCGTGAGGCGTGAGGCGTGAGGCGGAACCGGGCAGGTCAGTATCCGTATGAAGTCATGGATGTCGGTGTCTGGTCCAGGTCTCGGTAAATTGGGACAGGATGTGATGAAGGAGGAGGAGAGGTTGGGTGTGCGTACGTCTGAGAGAGTGTGTTTGCGTGTGAATGAGTACGGAGTATGGATGCGTGTCTGTGTGTGTGTGTGGGAGGAGACATAGACGAAAAGAGACGGGCGTCTGGTGGCGGTTGGTTGAAGATGTCGTTCAACTAAGAGTGCGTAAAGAACCCGGACCAGTTCCCCGTGCGCTTTGTGTTCCCCCAAACCAACGCAGTCACCCTGCCGAGGCAAATGGGACGGCAAGAGTGACCTGCCACGGCTGGGAAGGGACCAGGGCACGCGCACTCGGGGCAGGCAGCGCCAAACCTGGACCTGCCACGCCTGTCCAGACTGAGGTGCCCTAGTGCCTACCTTACCTTAGGTGCCTGGGAATACATTGGGAATACCTACCTGGTCAGAGTGTTAGGGAAGGGGGAACACTCGGTGCACCGTGATTCCCTTACGGAGTACACTAGTATCTTACGAGTATCCGTACATTGATCAAGTTCCTTTCCTTGTGAAGCTACGCAATTGGATACCTTACGCCAGCATTACGGGCGGGTACGAAGTACAACCTGCCTTAGGTAAGTGGGGCACACATCCTTCAGCACCTCATGGCATCCGAATACCCTCACAAGTGACGACCCTCAAATGATATCCATCCCTCTATCTCTCCACCTCACACTGCTCAGGCACTCTCTTTCCGGTGCCGCCCCTGTCAACCCGCCTTCGGGCAGGTCACATCTCACTTTACACACCATTGTCGAGTCCGGTCTACGGCTACTGGGTGACTGAATACGGATACCTAGACGGCGGCTGGGGGGGGGGGACGGGTGCCTGCCTGCTTGCTACTAGCCACGCTGCCACGCACTTCCACTCTCGACGGGAGGAGAGTCGACGAGAGCGTCGGGCAGACGACACACATCACACATCATCAAACAGGGTGTGGACAGGCCACTGACCGGGACACTGCAATGGGCATCACCCGGGAACCCCAACGTAGTATTCCACCGACCGGTCAAAGTCCCCGCAACCTGGAAGATGTGCAGGTGATCGATCAACCTGCAGCCACGGCCGCGCGAATGTGACAAGTCCAGGCCTCACCGAGTCGCAGCCCAATTCTGCATTCGAAACCGTTAAAGGCAATCCAGCGCCAATATTGGTATCTATCTGTGGCTGTAATTGCACCGGAAAGGGGCTTACGGAGTACTCAATGTGTACATACACTCACACTCACACACACACTCCCGTCACGCACCGTTGAAGGAAAGGCTATGCGGCAACGCATGCTGCTGAGCAGGGCCTTGCAAATCTCCGCAACACCCTTTTCCGCGCCCGTTGCAGAATGCAAGAGTCCATGAATGCAGATACATAATTATGTCCTAAGTATTCCGTCACAACCACCCGACGACGGCACATAATAAGAACAACCCAGGAAAACACGGGGCACATTGTCTGCCGCCCGTCAGCAGTCATGCTTGCAGTCCGGGCCCCTTGTTCATGATGCGCCCTCTCCTCTCCTCTGCTCTCCTCGCCTCGCCTCCTCCCAATCCGCCCCATCCTGTACCAAATCCTGATTCCCTCTCACCATCATCCTGCCCGCTCGTAATCAATGGTAGTTCAGCTCTGGGTTCGCCCTGAAATTGCATCGACAACGGCACTCGGGTACCGGACACTCGACGTGCCTCGTAAACCACTGCCTCGCATGGTCCAGATGCAACACGTGCTCGCATTTCAAGCAAAACGTCGGGAAGTTGGCCGCCATCCACCTCTCCGGCTCGCCGTTGTGCTCGGGTCGGTCAGATCTCGGAACGCCCACCACCTCAAGACACACCACGCACCGCGGCAGATGCCGTCCGCAGTTGGGACAGCTGATTCCCGCATTTATGCTCGTCGCCATAAGGGGGTTACGTGAATCAGGCGCCCCAGGCGGCGGTCCCGACCCGGCTCCTCCCTGCCCAGCGAGAGTCGTCTCCGCATCGCAGTACACGCACCGGAGCGCAATCTGACGCGAAGGCGGCTTGATCGTGGGGCGCCCGCCGCGCTTGCTCTTCTTCGTGCTCTCCACCTCGAACTTGGTCCTCTGGAGGAAGGCCTTGTGACGCTGTAGATATGTTCTGTAGGCATTCCTCCATGCCAGACAGCGGTAATCGTCAATGTAACGTGGCGCACTTATCGACATGACTAGCGTCGCCGTCTGGAAGTCGTTGAACTTCTCAACGTATTTGGCAAAGATGTCCACCAGCCTGTCCGTTATGCCCGTGAGAACAATGCCCTCAATGTCTCCCGTGCCCACAGCCATTGAGACCTGTTCGTTGAGCCATTTGGTGAGCTGCTCGTCGCTAAAGTTCCGTACTGCAACGTAGGCCCGGTCGGACAGGGGCAGGGACTTTTGGTTTGCGATGGCGAACCAGTCTCCCGTGGCAATCAGTGACGAGATTGCCCTGAGATAGGGGTCTGTCTTCGATGCCACGGCCTCGTCGAAATCAAGCTGCTCTTTGTTGAGGTGGTTATTGCCCTTTCCGATAAGTTGCAGGGCGAGAGAGACGAATAACAACTCTGGGTGTGTTACGCTTGCCGTCTTCAGGATTCCAATCGCCTCCTGCGTGTTGCCTTTGAAGAGAGCCCGAGCTGCTGCCATTGTGTGTGCCGTTGTCGGATAGTCTTGGCTGGGATCATGTGTAGCTGCTCCTCTGGCTTCATGTGCAGCCGTGTCCCCCCATTCGCAGATATCCAGACAAAGCTGTCTGTGGAAAGGCTTCTTGGTGTGGATGCCTTCGTACTTTGGTAGTCGCCGCTTCTTACAGATGCTTCCAATGCACTTCTCCCACAACGTCGTTTCGGGGATTGGAGACGCCTCTGGAAGTCTAGATGACGGCTTCCGGCCTGTTGCATGTCAGTCGCAATAAGATCGGCAGCGGCGAACTCTTTACGGACCTAAATCATCGCACCAGATGGTACAGACGCCCATATAACTAAGGTCGAGTGGCGACAACTTCATGCCTCCATCTGCAGCAGCATCTTCGGCGTCTGCTCATGATTAGCAACAATAACCCTGACGCATTCAACAAACTCACCTGAAACCCAATCCCACATATACCGCAGCCACGGATCATCGGATACCACGACGCGGTTGGCATTGCAATCGAAAAGATACTTCTCCTTCGCGCGGAGAAGCATGACGTGGTCCAGGAGACACTGTGCCTCGGTCGACAAGTCCTGAGCCTTCAGGGGCAGCGAAAGAAGAGATTCATGCATGTGGCGACACGAGACTGGCCCCTCGGTAGATAGGGATAGCTGAGCGAGCGAACTGACTGATTCTTCCATAATTGAGCTCTCTGTGCCATTCGTCTCTGCTTTCTTGGCCTTCTCTTTGAGCTCCGTTCTCAAAGCTCGCATCTTCTCTGCCGTAGACTTGGACTTGTCGAGGGGCGACGGGGAGCTGCTACCATTGCCCGTCAACCGACTGTTGAGATCTGCTGCAGAAAACTTTGACTGCAATGTCTTATCCACAATAGACTGAATATCGGCCTTGTCGGGGCCGAAGATGGGAATGTCGGACAGTGCTTCCTCAACAAATAAGGGACCGAGCATGTCGGAAGACTGGGACGGCTCGAATTCCATGATCTCGTGGTACGCTCCTCCTTCTACCTGATGTGAGTGGTCTTTCTCTCGTGAAACAGGCTGGGACACATACCTTCCAGTCCACGATGTGGTGGTTGCCAAGGTGTCAGCTTATACAGATAGTCAGAGGTATACGACGGTTGCTCGAGGATTTCAAAGGTCCCATTGGCACGCAAAACAAGGAGACGAGGCTGCAGAACCGAAGAGTCGAGCGTCACCCAGTCAAAGGAGACAATTCTGTCATTCTTTCTGCCGCTGTCGCCGTACTGAACATCCATGTCGTGGGACTTGTGAACCTCGAGAAGCTCCGGGCTACCTTCAAGAGCCATATCGCGATGCGTGATCTCCTTGTTCGTCTCCAAGACTTTGAGCTGGCCGGATCGAGATAGCACAGCCAGGAGACCCCGACGGTCTCTACAGTAGCGCAGTGAGCGGACGATGGAGTGCTTGCTTTCGCTCAAGGAGGAATCGTCATCCATCTCAACCACTCTGTCAAGTCTCAAGGCTCCACCCCACGGAAGGTCGTCCTCGTCAACTGCACCCAGATAAGATGGCGAAGCAACTGGGCGAGAAGATGCTCGTCTATCCCAAATCATGATGCCAGGTTGGTCCAGCGCGGATGATGCGAAGTAGTTCTGGTCAGCGTAATCAATGGCCAGATTGTTGTTACACTTGGTTTGAAAGGTTACAACACTGCCAGGTTCTGAAGTCGAACAAGGTCAGCAGGTTTATTCCGATGGACCGTGGAATTGTCACTTACCTCGCACTCGCAGATCATGGATGTGTAGACCTTGGGCTTTGATACCAACCACCAGTGTCTTTGGATTATCTTCAAAGAATTTGACGCTTGAAACTGACACACTGTGTTCCAGTCGATGTGCCGGGTCTGAGAAAGCGTGTAGATCCTTGGGAAAGCCTTTGGCGGTCGTATTCATCGTCGACAACCTGTTGACATCCCAAATGTGTAGGCACTGGTCCATGCGCACTCGGTCCAGGCCAACTGCAAGAAGACCCTCGGTGTTGAATGCCACTGCCTGACACGTTCTTGTCATCTTAAGATTCAGTTCGATGTAGGCGTTGGAGTTGTCGTCCATCCTGAGCAAGTTCACGACGCCCGTCTGAGTGCCAACAGCCAAAAGACCTGGGACCGTTGGCGACCAGTCATAGGTAGTGAGTGTTGGGAAATCATCGTGCTTTGACAGCCTCGTGTAATCGAAGCGGTTTCTCTGTGCAAGTCCGTTGGGCTCATAGAGCTGCACGACGCGATGCTGCAGGTTTATGTGGATGAAGCTGTCATAGCCGGGTATCTGCGACCATTTGATCAGTCCAGGCTCCGGGCGGTCCATGGCGGCCGCACGCGCCTGATTTTCGTGACTATTTCGGCTTTCTCCTTTCTCGTTCAAACTGCTCGAGAGAAGTGCCTATCTCAACAACGAAAAGTCGGAAGAGCGCTCAGCCATGAGTGCCTGGATGAAAGTACCTAGGCGAGCTGTACCGGATGACGTGATGCCGTGTAAACTGCGCGGTGATGGCGATATGACGAGACAGTCCCAATCTTCTTGTTATTCCAATTCCGATTGATGTATGGTCTTGAAGGCAAGGTATATCAAGAGAATTTCCGCGCCAGTAGTTGCTTTCAATCAGGTATCATCTGAAGTCGCTGAAGCTTTGGGCGGGATTGCTTCGCTTCCAAACCAGTGAGCCGTTGTAATTGGGACCTGTCATTGGTGCGCACAGACCAGTCACACTACCAGTCCCGTTTGGGACTGATAAGCACCCCAGGTGGGGTCGGCAACTTCCCTGTGGCCGATAACGAGCCAAATTTTTGAAAGAGAAGTTCGCGAAGTCATCGTCAGCTCTTCATCCTCCACACAGCGTTCTGCACCGACCGCAGTCAATTGCCCACATCGCAACACCGCACGACGCAATACAACGCAATCGTGCCGACCAAGTTATCTCAATCAACATCATAATGGGCACAAAAAGAGCACACTCCGAGGTCGCTTCGGAGGGGGCAATGCCGGACGACACCTACGAGCAACAGCAGCAATCAGGTTCGGAAGATGGCGAGCACGAGAACAAGCGGTTCAAGGCCACCAAGAAGAAGTCTAGAGCGAAGGAAGGCACCACAAATTGGAACAAGACGCGAGCGAGAAACATCAGGAGACTTTTGCAGAGCGGCAAGGAATTGCCCGCCACGAAACGCAATGAGCTGGAACAAGAGCTGGATGCGCTGCAGGAGAGGGTCGAGGAACACGACTTTAGGAAGAGAAGGGGCGACATGATTCAGAAGTACCACATGGTTCGATTCTTTGGTACGTGGCCATGTCTTCCTACTCGCCAAGTTACATCAGCTAACATGTTTTTTTTTCCTTTGCAGAACGGAAAAAGGCAGAGAGATTACTGAAGCAGCTCCGCCAGAAGCTTCAGCAATCCGAGGACCCCGAAGAACAGAAGCGCCTCGAGGCCGAGGCCCACGTAGCCGAAGTCGACGTCGCCTACGCCCGCTTCTTCCCCCTGATGGAGCGCTACGAGAGTCTGTACCCCAACAAGGACAAGAACGCCAAGGAGGAGGGAGACGAGGAGAAGGTCGAGGAAGCTGAAGCTGAAGCGGAGGCGGATGCAAAGCCTTCAAAGCAACCCAAGGCCCTGCGGTTCCTCCACGCCGAACGACCCAAGATGTGGGCGACGATCGAGAAGGTCCTGCCGGAGGGCGAGGTGGCGCTGTACCGGCTCCGCGATCGCAAGTCACCGACAGACGGCCCCGCCAAACGCCAGCAACGGCCGCAATGGCCCGTTCAACAGACGCAGCCGCAGAGGGTCAAGGAAGAGGATCCGTGGGTGGCCAGGTCGAAGAAGACGTGGGAGAAGAAGAAGGACCCCAAGCAGCCGATGAACCGGAGGGAGCGCAGAGCGGCTGAGAGGAAGGCTCCCGCCAAGGTGGCAGAGGAAGATGACGGCACGGGCTTCTTTGAGTGAGGGCTCGGAAACAGAAAATAGGGCGAAGTGTTGAGCGTTTTGGTAGTCAATGGTATACCCCCTAAAAGTTCTATGGAATCACGTCAATGGAAATAACCACTGCGACGATGCTGTCAGCTAAACCACATGTACGTTTGGTCATTTCATGTTCGGCGACAGCCTGTTATTAGCCGATACATGTCGTTCGAAAGTCATCTGAAGTCAGCCCAGACAAAGCCTGCATTCTCTCAACCTTACGTTGTAGAGCAGGCTGTAGTAACATCCAAAAACGCCTGCGATAGGTGGACAAAAGACGCATCACCCTTGCCAGATAGATATTGACTTCCATTCCAGGTGCAATGCAGACGCGTCACTTTTGTCACCACGCAAAGCTGGCAGCCTCCTGCAGAACACCACTTTGACCCAGCTAAGCAAGGGCGGCCACACAGCCAAAGGCGGCCAGAAAACGCGACCCCACCAACATCTTAAACTTCGCCAGTCTCGACTGCACGAACCAAGCTGCCTACTTTACCTTTCTCCGTTTCCTACATTCTCACGCGATTACAGGGGGAAACGCATCTCAGGACGTACCACGCAATTCTCATTCATGTTTTTTCCTTAAAGGTGCCACATACGACATCCTCTCATTTCAGCTCATACTTTATCATCACCCGTGAAATCAAATATTCTGGCACGCATAACCACAGTCGCAGCGACATTGACTTCACCTCCACGCGCGTACACCCTCGCACACACCATGGCGGGAGGAGACTCGTCAATAAACGGCACAGCCGCCCAGCGCGTAGACTGGTCGGCCCTCCGATCCTACATCGCCGGCAAAGAAGCGTTCGAGGCAGAACACGGCCGCCCCGCCCCGCTCACGGATCACGAGGTCTCGGCCATCGCCATCCTCCTCCGTCCGGCCCCGCGACCGGAGCCGGACCTGGGTAAAACGAACTGGCTGGGCCTGTTGAATCGTGAGTTACAGCACCCTTTTCATACTTGATACAATTTTCGTCACATTTCCTTCTTCTTCCGTTTCTTCTTCCATCTCTTCTTTCCGTCTCAGATCATGTATCTGTTTGAGGCTGGGAAAGCACCCCCCCAACTCCCCCTGCCTATCTATCAGGAAGGAGAGGGGATGGGTAGTTGGGTCACTTCTTCTTCCATCATGACAAAAGCGCGCCTCGAGGTGCAGGTGGTCAAGGGCTTAATGAGTTCGCCGGTGGCATCCATTCTTCGTTGAATCACCCTTGACCCTCGCTTTTGGTTCGATTCGCCATGGACGACCTTTTTCCTTTTTTCCTTTCTGGCGCTCTCAGTACCAATGAACATCCGAATTCCCCTTGAGCTGAAGACCAAACCGATACGACCTAATATTATGTACCCCGTACTAATCAAGGACGAACAGATTTCCAACAAGTTAGAAACCAAAAGGTGACCTTCAACGATGAAGCCCGCCAGGAACAAGGCCTACTAGGCAAAGCCAAAGAGCTCCGATGGGCCTGTTCAGCAACCTTTGACAGCACCGGCGACGTATTCCCCCGGCCGGGGTACGGCATAGACGCAGGCGAAGACATCTCTCGCGGCGGCGCCGGCCCGGCTTTCCAGGGCAAAAAGGACGCGAAGCAATGGGCCGCCAAAGCAGCTTGCGAGTGGCTCATTGACAACGGGCACATGATGCCCTCGGGCGACCTGCCAAAGTTCCCTAAGCCATTCGCCCCGGCTGCTAGTGCCGCGCTCGCTGCCGCTGCTGCTCCTATTCCTGTCACTGTTTCTGCACCTTCTCCTAGTCGTGGCGTCGCGTCCGGATCGGTTCTACCCTCCAAAAGATCCCCGCCGAGCTCGCCCCCAGCAGAAAGCAGCGCCGCCGCGTCGAGGAAGAAGCAGGACATGAACCAACCCCCAAAGACGTCCCCATCGCCACCGGCTCACTTGCCCAGCGTTGCCGCAAGCAAGAGCAACAGCAGTCTACCCAGTCACCAAGCACCACCTCCCCCATCCGCCAACACCCCAAAGGCCCCGAAACTAACTCTCCCCCTAAACGTGATGGCATCACCAACCTCCGCCACCCACGACTCGACGACGACATCCACCGCAAGCACACCTTCCCTCGGCGCCGGAGCCCCCATCAGCACTACAGCGCAGTCCCAGGCCCCGACGCCATCAATCTCTCCCGCACCGACCTCGGCCCCAACACCGGCACCACCACAGGCATCAGAATCCGCCGCAACGACATCAGCAGAGAAGCGCGTCCGGGACCTCTGCACGCAGCTCCACTTCCCCGTGCCCCGGTACATCATGACGCCGGATCCAGCACTCGAGGACTTTTGGGACGGCCGCGCCGACTTTGACGGCAACCCGCTGATCCCGGATGATCTGGGCACCGTCCGGCGGATCTTACACAAGAAGGCTGCGAGGGAGAAGATGGCGGACGCGATTGTGGCGTGGCTCGAGGCGGAGGTTGAGAAGAGGGAGAGGACGGCGAAGCTTGTGCTGTGGAAGTGATGTGACCGGGGAAAAGCGAGGCTTGGTCAGGAAGACTTACGTGATGTTGTGAGCTTTCGGACGGATTCTGACGGATGACCTTGGTAGAAGGGGGGGTTGCGAGGTACGAGGGTATTTGGGAGCAAGGGATATACAATGGGCTGGGGTCTATTGGCCATACCAAGGCAATCGCTTCGTTTTATGAGACTCAGTAAGGGGTTATGATAGGACCTTCACTTACTCAAAACATGACTTTTATCGTTCATAGCGCTTAACTGAATAAACTTACCCTCTACAATACGAACAGAGAAGACCGTCTTCCGTGCTCGCAAGCCCAGAGGTTCGTCAAGTTGAGGTTACTAGTAGTGAGCCGTAGACTCAAATATCTCTACTTTTGCAACTCGCAGATACCATGTGTGTATGATGTATATGCCTAACTCATCTTTTCTCTCCGTCATATGTCTAGGTCTTTTGCTTCTTTTCGCCTCATACCATCATCACCACCTCAAGCCTTCCCTCCCCTCCTCCCACCACCACCACCACCACCACCTCTTCCGCCTCTCCCCTTCCCAGGCGGCGCCCTCATCCTCAATCCCTCAGGCAACTCCCCAACCTTCTCCCCATCCCTCCAAAGCACACCCACCCCGCTCCCCTCCTCCCTCGCAACAACCTCCTTGAACAACCGACACGGCACAACCCCCTCCCCATCCCCCTCCGTCAACACAACCCCGTTCTCACTAACCCACCACTTCATCACCCCCTCCTCCTCCTCCCTCAACGCCCTCTCCACATCAACATACACCAACACCTCAGCATCCTTCCTCATCCCGCTCACCACACCCTTCTCGTCGCCGGGCAACCCCGTCGCAAAGTGAACATGGTTCCTCCCCATCCTCTCCAACCCGCCCGACGCCTCAATCTGCTTCCAAAACGCAAAATACGTCCCGTGCACAACCACCGCCGGCACGTTACCGCTCTCGAGCGTGATGGGCGTCAGCAGGCCCGCCGAGTCGACTTTGATGCTGTGGCCTTGGTTCGCGCGGATCAGCCAGTCCGAGGGAGCCGTCGACGTCTCCTCCAGCACGGCGGCGTGGGCGGGCTTGAGTGCGAAGCGCTGCTTGTCCGACGTCGTTACCGCGGCTTGGATGTCGGAAAAGGTTACCTGTAGAGACTTGATAGGGCCGCATGCGAGCTTTTTTGGGGTGGCATTCAGCGTCAGTAGCTGTTGTTGAGTTTGACTTTTTGAAAGAAGGAAGGGCTGTCATGTTTTCTTGAACATGACGGACAGCCTCCGCTTCTCATCTTCTCTCTCTCTCTCTCTCTCTCTCTCTCGCTCGGAAATGAAAAGCAGATTCTTAACTCACCACCTTGTCCAGGGGCGCATACCCGCCCTCGTCGAGCGTGAGACCCGCATTCTCAGCCTGATGCCTCAAAAGCTTCGAAAGGGCCTTGGAAACCAACACTTCCCTCGGCTGAACTCCTCCTCTACCGCCTCCTCTACCCCCTCCCTTCCCACCTCTGCGTCCTCCCCTCTTCTGTTGCTGCGCCTCAATTGCGGCAGCAGCAGCCTCCTCATGTTTGTCGGCCATCTCCCCGTAGCTTCGAGTCCACGTCGATTTTGGGCGGGCAGTGAACAAACTTGAATCGGTGAAAACTCTCTGGAAACAAAATGTCGTCGTCTTCTTCCACGTGGTGGCCTTTGTGGCAGTCCCTCTCGCGGGTGAAAGAGATGCAAGTGGGGTTCGCGGCCGAGTAGCAAACGTTGCGGAGAAGAGTAAACTCGGCAGTCTCTTGGAAGGGATACCACAAAGAGCGAGATGCTTGATTCGTTTGGATGAAGAAACACAAACGAGTCGGTTTGGCATGTGGGAAGATGTTGGACGAGAGAAAGCGTGTAGAAGGAGCCTTATGAATAGAGCCTCCGTGTATAAGGTAAGGTAAGTCGATGTGTGAAGTCGGAGTTGGGCTTGGCCCAGACCCGCTTAAAAAACCACCCCTCCCGTCCTCTTGGTGAGTGGCTCGTCCAATGAACAAGCCCCCTTTCACCTGTCAAACATACTTCCACTTTCCTTCTGAAATCGTCGCCGGTGAGTCAAAACTTGTCGGTCCAACCAAACCACCTCTCAATGCGACGAATCCAACGGCGGCCTCGCACGGTCATCCACCAGGGTCCAGAATCAAAGCGCTTAAACATCATGGAGTGTTTGACGGTTGCTTGACAGATATGACCAAACTCAGTCGCAGCGTAGAGGCGTAACCAAGCACCCGAGGTCGTCACACTTGCCTAGAACCTACATCCTCAAATCCTATGCACATATCATCATCACATTCCTTACAACGTCACGCGATCTCTAGCGGAAAACAAAGTTGACCAAACAAATCAGAAGCATCCTATGCTTCTATCCTTAACCTTTTGTTTCCTATGGACTGCTCGATATACAAATGCTCCACGCCAGCCTGTTTTTTTTTTACGGGGAAAGGCGAGTCCCAAGAAATCAATCGGCCTTCCGTCGTGGATTGTCATACAAGTACAG